AGATTAATTGTTAGCTATGCATTGTTTCGTGCGAATTTTTTAAATTTAGACCGAGTAATTTTCACATGTCAAATAATTTAGCCATGTAAACATTATTACTGTGTCGTTAGAAAGAGCACAATCACAATTAAACCGATTTGGACAATCAGCTTCTATTCTGCAAGACCCCAAATCATTCAAGACTGCAAAAAACAAACATCGCACTCGGCATAACAAACATGTGTCATACTGAAGTTGTGGACATTCGCCGTGCATTCTGACGATTCAAATCATTGTCAGTGGAGCAGTGACGCAATGCTCTACACACTGAGCCATGAACACGACATCCTGAGCTTCATTCCTCATCCACAGCTCGATTCAATGGCGAATTATACCCGAGCCAGTACTGCCTCCTGCCACCCTCGCCGTACCAATCTCCACTGACCAGTGTGGTGAAGTATGGCCAAACAACCCACAAGACCGACGCAGCCCAGGGAGGTTCATCCAGCGGTGGATTAACAGCTGCAAACTAGTATTACGTACAGTATTGTGAATTCCTGAAATGTGTATTGCCATGTTAAAAATATATTTTTTAAACATCGTTCAGTAACGTGATCTTCACATATGCATTTGCAATCGTCACCTCAGCTTTGCCTATCGATGGGCTCATGTAGCTGGAATGAATCTTCTGGAGGAATCTATTGCTTGGTGCAGGCAATGCGAATAACAGAAGATTACATCGTGTGGCCAGCCTCTGCGTAGGTGGATGGACAAAGGATATTATTGCGTGTGATTTTATAACTTGGATCCATGCCGAATAGCTACACAGGGCTATATTTGAAGAGCATTTAAACAAATTATTACAAAAACGTTGAATGTGACTGATAGAGAGGCACATCTGCAGATTGCATTAGCTATGCATTCACATGGATGGGCTGGAAAAAAAGTTACAGCAGCACAGATTGCATACAATATATGATTATACCATTCTAGATTTGAAGCTTTCGTGACTGCAAGGATTCATATTCTTAGGTTTTTTTATTTAGGTTTTTATTTTGGTAAAAGTCACGTAGGTAAAAAATTAAAATTAATAAAAGTAAAATAAAAATAAAATAAAAATCACGACGTTTCGGAGGCAACACAAGCCTCCGTATTCAGGTGGAACCGTCACAGCACTATAGTTGACTTTACCCAAAAAAAACCCTAAGAATATGATTCTACCAGTTTAATACATATACAGAGATGGATGTACTGCATACATACATGTAACACAAACACAATAGACGTCAAGTTGTTACTAAGCTCTGTCAATCCACTTGCTGGATAAAGGCCCCGCTCCCCCCCATGTCATGTTGGTTGCTTGGCCTAACATCGCCACGTCGGTCAGTGAGGAAAGGGAGAGGGACACCCTGCACTAGTTCAGATGTCACTCACCACCGATGTCACTCACAATCAATGCCACTTGCCACCGATGTCATTTGCAACCGATGTCACTCACAACCGATGCCACGCACAACCAATGTCACTCACAATCAATGCCACTCGCCACCAATGCAACCCGCCACCAATGCTCCTGATGCCACTCGATACCGATGTCAGCTGTTGCCAGGTGTTGAACTCCGTTTGCAGAATATGATTCTGAGATTCATAATCTTTATTCAGACTGGAGGAATCCGATGAGATATGAAGCTGTTTTTCACCGATGCCCAGTCGGGGTGGGGTCAGAAATTCACAACAAAAATACAAAAAGCCGATAGGAGTGCAAAGTATAGGAAAGGTAAGCAAGTCACGAATAAATAAAAATTAATCAGAAGTACAAATTGCTAAATTATACCAATTCCTGCAGATTTTTCAACAATAAATACAAGCTTGGGCAAAAACAGCAAAACAACAACAGTCCCAAACTACAGCAAGATAACACAGAGTTCATAGTGCATTGTGTTACACATTCCTGCGGAGGGAGCTGGTAGGAACGTTGGGTTGCTCGGTCAATGGCCAAGGTCAACGGCAGCGTGGTGGATTCCGCAAATATGGCCGACTGTGAGGGCGGGCACAAGCCGGCGTGAGTAGGTTCAACGTTGAGTTTTATAAGGGCACCACGGGGTGACCAGCCCCTCCCCATCCAGCCCCACCCCACCCAGCCCCACCCCTCCCACCCCCCCCACCCAGCCCCTCCCCACCCAGCCCAGCCTCTCCCCACCCTCCCCACCCAGCCGCTCCCCACCATCCCCTCCCCACCCAGCCCCTCCCTCCTCACCCGCCCCTCCCTGCACGACGGACACAATAATCCCCTGTGGGCTGGTGTAACCAGGAGGTTCCTACCAGTACCAGTTCCACTGCTACAGCATTTACAATTTGTATATTTGCACAAATTCTAGAATATATTCAGCATAGTGGTTGGAAGATGCATATTTTCTTTTTTTTACAAATTGTCTAAAATTAGCTACACATTGTTAATTTTTAACACACACTATCATAATGTTACGTTATATGTAATACTGAGATATGCATGACCAAGGTAAGAGCTAATTTGAGACTAATTGTATTTTTATGCACCATATTTTGTTGTTGTTTTGTGCACCACGGATCTTCTTTGCAAGCTAGCTGGTAACTGGCTAAACGGAATTTTCCGTGTAACAGTAAAACATTGAATTGAGCTGCACTGATTCACCTTTTTGTAAGAATTCCAGTAACAGTCATAACATTGTTGTTAATAACCCCAAATCAACAAGTATCCAGCATTCAACATGTGTGGTAAGCATAGTGCATGCTACGGCAAATGCTTCGGCACCTCCGAATATCACGGTTGGCTACGTAGGGTGCAAAAGAAGTTCAATATACATACATCAATAGGAGATAAACCAAAGGCAGTCAATACATGCTAAGTGGCGAGTGTCATGTATGTCATTATGCGTCACCACATGTACAGTGCTGTGAAGCCATATGGTGATGGCTATGCTTTTGAAATGATTATCATTTTCACCCACCCAACAGCACACAAAGGCAATATTTAAATCCCGATATCAGGTCTGTTTGAAAGCAGATTAAATGTCACCGCGTGGGAATAAAAGTGCCTCGTGCTGGCAGTGAATCATCCTCTCTTCGGTAAACTTTGCAGTGCACTTGCATATGCGAAATGGAATGAAAAACGCGAGGTAACTGCATTATCCTATCGGTGGGTTGCTAATCTCTACACGTGTGTAAGCAAATGCTCTTCGGCATTGCACTGGCTAGGAAATGTACTGAAATCTTGCATGTCTAACTTTCCGATATGAACCATGAAGGGCATTTGAATTTCAAAAACCCTCTGAAGAGTTTGGCAGGTGAATGGCCATTGATATTCTAGATTTGAAGCTTTCGTGACTGCAAGGATTCATACTCTTAAAAAATATATATATTTATATAAAATAATTTTTCTATTATATTATTATTTATATTATTTATAATATTATTTCTATTATTTTATTATAATTTTTATTTACTTTTATTTTTACCTACGTGACTTTACCGAAAAAACCGAAGAGTCATTGATATTGCATTGGGCTGTTGAGGTCGCATTGCATTCTTGGCTGCATTAGGTGGGACAATGTTACGTTGTTTTACTCCCATTATGTCCACTGTAGCAGGGCAAGATATTGGAATTATCAAGCAGCACACTTAGAATATCAATGTTCCACATCTAATAAGCCGAGAGGTAATTGACATTAGTCGTCTCTTTTAACTGGGGAAAAACAGTAACTGAAATTAGTACGGAGAGCTATCTCACAAAAGCACCAACATCGTCCAAATAGGTTTCAATACAAAATGTCTGGGTCATGGTTTTCGAGGAAATGTTGGTAATGTGGGTTTGAGTATTAATCAGGCACACCAGTAGCAACTGTTGAAGCTGGCTGGGTCTTTCTATAGGTCTACTCAGCCCAAAAACGAGTTCCTCGAACATTGTATTCAACATCCATACTCGGAATATAAAATGGCGAAGCGTGCATGGCACTGGCCTCACCTCCCCCCCCCCCCCCCCCCACATGCTGTGCCAGCCTTAATAGATGTTCGCTAATATCACCATCACTACAACCAGGGACATTTTATGACAACCGTTGCCAGCAAAAGTCACTGTACATTGTTGCGGCACCATTTCCTGTTGTAAAACATTTAGTTACCCACAAATCTGATCACTGGAGCCATCAAAATGGGCATCTTGAATGGAAGCTCCCGATCACATAGGTCACACGACTACAAAAGGTTATGCACTCCCTTCATCATAGCTCTCAGCTCTTGATTTTGTTGGCTCGATGGAATTCCATCCCACTATGACAATGTCACAGCAAGTTGCCATAGTTGCTCATCGTAAAAGGTGTTGAAATTGACTATAACCGGACGATCTGATCACTTATTAGATTCTGCCGATTGGTTCAATCACTCGACGAATCTGAAAATATAGAAATAGTTGGATAAACGTCTCACCTGTGCCCACATGTGCCACTGGATGGAAGGTAATGGGCTGGGATTGGTGGCGTCATCAGGAACTGCATCATGTGGGGCCTGGCTTGTAAGGTGCCTGAGTAATCGAATAACATAGTGGATTGCATTTTTTACTCGATCGATTTAACACATTCCTCCTGCGGAGGGAGCTGGTAGGAACGTTGGGTTGCTCGGTCAATGGCCAGGGTCAACGGCGGCGTGGTGTATTCCGCAAATATGCCCGACTGTGAGGGCGGGCACAAGCCGGCGTGAGTAGGTTAAACGTTGAGTTTTATAAGGGCACCACGGGGTGACCAGCCACTTCCCACCCAGCCCCACCCCTCCCAACCCCCACCCAGCCCCTCCCCATCCCCTCTCCACCCAGCCCCACCCCTCCCATTTTTGAATGCACGACGGACGGACGGGCACAATAATCCCCTGTGGGCTGGTGGAACCAGGAGGTTCCTACCAGTGAAAATGGCATGTTGCATGGTGGCTTTGAGGACCCTCGACTTTGCCAACCGTCGTGCGGCTGTGCGTCCGTGTGCCGTGCCCCCTTGCAGCGGAGCACTTCAAGAAGCTGCTGCGAGCCAAGGAGGTGCTGACGGACAGCGAGACGCGGGGCCGCTACGACAAGTGGCGTCGCAGCGGCCTCGCCATTCCCTTCGAACAGTGGAACGCGCTGAGCAGCTCCGTGCAGACGGTGAGGCCCAGGCACGGGCGGGTTAACAGATTCCTTGCAGCAAGAATCCATAGGTTTCCACGGTTGTGCTGTATGGGCGCCAGGGTGGCAGGATGTTAAATACTTCACCTGGTATACAGGTGGTGGGTTCAATCCAGACCCCGACTCTTGTATATTCCGAGTTCAAATCCTCTCCCCGTGGTCGTGTTGATTTTTCTCCGGGTCCTCCGGCTTTTCTCTCCACATCGCAGAAACATGCGTTTAGAGGATTTGGCTGCTATACATTTCCGTATAAGCCACTTCGTTATTTGTGGCCAGGTCACTTCTGAAAACGAGCTATATTGCTCAGTGGGCCTTACCTGGTAAAATAAAAACAAGTTTAGTTCTCGTTCTCCAATGTGTTCCATGTGTTGTTCAGCACAATTCCTTACGATCCAGATACTAAATAAGTTCCCAGCATGTGTAAACATACAAACATTGTGCCGAATAACTATTGGTTTCAACCAGCCTTATGCTGCTGGTTGTAACCGATAGCAAAAGGTCCACACCCAATTGTGAAATGTGACATTGCAGTTACAATTCTAATCAACTAAACGTACACCCTCAGCATGTATACACACTAAAAAAAACCTGTTGGCAGAGATGGGGAGTATCTAACATACATGTAATTTAAATAGTTTCATTCAATTGTTATGTGAATGGTAATATTCAAATTACAGTACTCCACTAATTTTACTGTGTTTTGTCCATCTCTGCCGTGGCTGTTGCCAATGGACCCAAACGACAATTGACATTTCCCTTTAATTCACCCCGTCCACGTGCACGCAGTCCAAAGACAAACATCCCCCGTGTAGCCTTAACAGACTGTTGGGGCAAATGCTGCAAGTGAGCACCTATGAAGGCCAGCACGGTACACGAGTGGGTGAGTGGCCAGTATTACACGCTACTGCCTTTGTCTCTCTAGCGGCGATGTTTACACACCACACCAGGTACTCATTTGAGGGGGAGGCCCAGGACCAATTCAGATAATCGTCACTGGTGTTGGCCGTGAGCGGGAATCAAACCCGAGTCGCCAGGTTCGTAGCGCATCACGCTAACCGCTGCGCCACCGCTCACCCACAGTCCATGCACTGGGCCACTCGCAACAAGAAGGAGCCGATGCTGGAGGACGCTGGCACCAACGCCACGGGTGGCCGTGGGGCCGACGAGGCCCTGGGGGCTCGTAGCAAGGAGGACGCGGCGCGCGAGGGTGACTCTCCCGACGGCTCGCTACCCAAGAGCCCCACCTCACCCGGTACAAAGCCACCTGTTTCTATTCTCGTTTAACATCATTCGAAATAAAATATATTTATTTTCCCATTTCTTTCATTTTACACTCTCCTTATTCCTGTTTGCTCACTGTAACCTATTTCATTTCCCACGTTATTCTCTGCATTTCTCTTGGTTTTCACAACTGGGCTGTTTTTGCTCATTCATACTGTACCCACATTTTTATTGGGATTATTCACAATTTTCATTGTTTCTTGGTTTTCTTCCCTTATTGTGCATTGTTAGCTCACACGTGTCACCGTTTACTATCCATCAGTCTAAATTTCTGTTACTCTGAATTTTTACTTTTCAATCCCATGCTTTTAATCTTCAATTGCTCTTCACCTTTTGCTTCCCCTCCCCCATTCTTTGTTTTTTGGTTGCTAACCGCTCTGAGCATCCAAACCTTACAAGAGTGCGGGTAAGAACCGTAACTGGGGTGGCCTGCAGTCCCATGCGCCCTCATTTCTCGACTAAACGATTTATGCCGCACACGTCCCAGTCCTGGCTCGTGTTTGGATATTTTTTTGGATCCAGTTACCCATTTTTTCAGAGGATCCGAGCCTGCAAAATTTTGCAAACAAATAAGGGGGGAGTTATTTTCTTCGAAAAGAAAACTCCACTTATTCAAAACGAATTCCCTTCCACTTAAATTGTGGCTAAGAGGAGTGCGGCCTGCAGGGTCTTCTCACGACGTGGTGTGCATCCTTCCACAGGTTCCCAGGAGACATCCTACTGGCGTAACAGCTTCAGCTGGTCATCCGACGCTCCGTCAGAGTTGCTGAGAAAGTTTAGAAACTACGAGATATGACGGTCTTCCGAGGAAAACGATGCAACGTGACAGTGAACATACCCGACTCCATGCCGAGCGTTATAGAAAGTTAAGAAAAACCAGGCATTTGTGAACGGTCCAGTCGATCAATCAAGTGAGAGAATGTGCAGCATGCGGGTACCTCACAATGCAATGAATGCAGTGTAGGCCCAATTGCTGCTATAATAAAGTGAAGGTCAACTGGGCACAAGTCACAAATCGCAACTTCAGTTCATGGCCATCGTCCTCCAAGCTGCAGTGTAGAAAATGTGTGCTGTACATTATAGTGATTTTGCTTGTGGATACAAAAATAAATGTTTAATTGCAAAGAGATGAACTGTTATTGTGAACATGTGCAAATGATTGCTAGTGTGCTTTCACATTGTTGGCATAAAACTTCGCAATCTAAGTAATTGTTTCATTTAATGGCCAATGTTCCTTCAAAGTTTGTACTAATGATAAAATTATTAATGGACACAACTCCGTAAAAGAAACTGATAAAACACACATTTGAGAATAATTTCTGACTGCAAAATATGTTTAAAGCTTTGAGGTTGCTAGTAGCAGGTATATTTTATCCAGCTGAAATAAAAAAAATTGTTCTTAAGATGTCACATTATTCATAAGCTATACATAAAAAAATGTTAAACTAAATTACATTACATATAAGGGATACCAATATATTGTAACCTATCAAAATTAATACAAGGGGTTCATTTATAATAGCTCAAATTCAACTGACAGATAATTCAATAGGCAGTTTAAAGCTGTCGATATTCATTGTCAAATAACCCAAGCTGGTTAAGAGGGATCCATTTGTAAAATGTGTTCAAGGCAAAATGAAATGGAGAGAAAAATGTAACAAAATTTGGCTTTAAAGACTTTTTTGGGCTTTGTTAATACCATGTTGTAAAATTCCAATGTGAAAATGTACCAGTGTTGAGATTGTCAGCAAGTGTGGTGTGTACTGTGCATTCGTGCACTTCATCTGCATAATAAAAATGGTGATTGCAGGCGTTTGTGTCAGTCGTGAGATTGTGTATACGAGAGCAACTATGACAAAGCATAAGCACTGTTCGTGTGAATACGAACACCCGATTAGAACACAAACTTAAAAACCAAATATATCTTTGCAACAGAATGCTATACGAAACCAGTAATGATCCCTTCCGCGGGATATCCAATGTATGCAGACTTTAAAAATAATAGGTGCCCTACGGAACCTAAACTATGGCAAGGAATGCAATTGTCACATTACCAGTGACAACCATTAGCCGTATAAAATGAACCGTGCGACCGTAGTAATGCCAAATAAACTTGTATTTGCCTTTTATATGAACAAAATGCAGTCTACACAAAGTTTGCCGATGCTCAAGTAGCTCATGTTAAAAGTAAACAAAGCATGCATGTTATCTTTTTGCGAACGTATCTAAAAGCTTCACGAAAATTAAGATACAATGGTACTTGTTGCATTTTGTTTGTACAGCAATTCCTCGTTTAACGCGGTAGATGCGTTCCTAAGCCGCGTGAAGCGAAAAAGTAATATTTAAAAAAACTTTTAGAAAAACACTTTTTATGAAATGTACCATACTAGTAATGGAAGAACTCCACGACTCCAGGAATTGGCCCCGAAGCTTGCCTATAACGTAAGGGACTGTGGGCAATTACAGCCAACGTCAGTTGAGCGTGGACAACTAGACCCAAGCCGAAACATAACATATAAATAAGAATGTTTCAAAATATTATTTTTTATGATAGAATATAGTATTGTCATTAGTATGACATAAGTATACCAAGTTTGCAGTAGATACTACATTGGAAAGTGGCTAAAAATTGAGTTGCAAGATTTGAGGATACAGATTTAATAAAAACGTGTTAGGCAAGAACCATTTCCCCTTCTTGGTTCTTTCGGTAAAGAAGATGAATCCCTGCAGTCACGAAAGCTTTAAATCGAAACCATTTCCCCATCTAACGAATATAACGTAAAGGTTTGGCGAGACAGGTTGTACGCACACAGGTGGCGGGAGACACCAGAGGGTATGCCGCCGTGTTACTCTTAGGGGCCGTCCATAAATGACGTCACGCACCGAGGAGGGGGGTCAGACATTTGTGACGATGTGTGACGAGGGGGGGGGTTGACAAATGTGACGTCACTTCAAAATGCGCAACTTTAAATAAATATGGACAACACGTTCTACTTAGACTTTTTAATAAATGTTTTCTCCTACAACAGAGTGCAGCGCCTCATTAAATACGCACTACAATGACAATAGTTTCAAAGCGATTTTAAGCAAGTTTTATTTTCAAAATGGAAATATGGTTGGGGGGGGCAGAGCTTTGTGACGTCATATTTGAGGAGGGGTCTGACTTTCACACGTTTGTGTTATCCAGCAACACACGCTGCAGTACTACCGGTGTGCGCCACCACTTGCAGCACGATTGACGAACCTAAGTTTTACATTGTGCACCACTGCCAATGCAGCATCACCAAATTCTACAGGGAGGAACAACAGGTTCCACACTGCCCACCAGGGATTATTTGTCTGTCTGTTATGCCTATCGTGCACGAATGCGCCGTCCAACCAAGTTCCTACCTGCCCACTCCGAAGGAACGCGTTTTGTTTAATCCGATAACGGACGTTTACACATGGTTATCATTGCTATTCATTACAAGCGAAGATTCTGTTACAACGGAAATATAACACGACACAGAGGAACGTTTTTAAATCGTGCATATTACCTTCCACGACTTTGGATTGAAAACAACGAAAGCAGAAAACTGCACAAAGCATGACAACACGCATGCTTGGAAGTATTATCATTACAGTGTTCATGTATGGATAAGACATGCGTATTGACACACGGTATTTATTTTTAAACAAATAAAAGTAAGCTTGAGCAGGACACATTGCTACAAATGGACCAGCAAAACGGGTGACGGAATAACAGTCCTAGGAGAGAAGATGCCTCGATTGTGGGATCGTGAGGGATGATGGTAATGTCACGAGGCCTTCATCCAGCAGGAGACCAGATTACGACTGATAATGAATACAGCAAAAACAAGATAAAATTTTAATGTGCGTCAATTTAAAATATTCACGTCTTGATGTGTTACGGGATGCTATTAGCATAAATGACGCTATATAAAATGAAGGTTATTTTTAAATGCACGACTCGATTTAGGCATAGGGAGCATAGGGCCCAGTGCAAACAATGAAATGTTTCAATGCTTTTCAGACCATCCAACCCTGTGGCTTGAAAGTGTAATTCCAGTGCTGGCTCGGTATACAAATATGAAAAATGTAAATTTAAGTGACCTTTTGTTCATTGCAAATTATAATTATTTGAAATCTGCATTACAAACAACATTTATGCACAAGGTTACAATTTGATAATTGGTTTACCCTTCTATCTGGCAACAAAACTGACACCTTTTTTACAAGGATTCATGCAAACATGACTCCTTGTAAAAAAGGTGTCAGTTTTTTCTTCTTGGTTCTTTCGGTAAAGTCACGTAGAAGGGAAGTAATAAAATAATAAAAATAAAACATAATAAAATAATTATCACGACGTTTCAGCCACAACGCAAGCAGCCGTCCTCAGGTGGAGAACAGGTCCGTCAAGTAGACAGTCTGAATGGCACGCTCCAGGCTTGGAGCAACTATTTATGCTGGGATGGAGGGGCGAAGAGCGTCTTGACAAAATAATTTGCATATCAAGAGGAATTTAGCATATGTATGGGAAATGCAGATATGCGATTAGCACTACTTGTGAAATGCGTAGGAGGTTTGGCGAGGGGTTTAAAGTCATTATACCCATGCATTATGCAGGATTAGAAGCATCAAAGGGAGGGAGTAAGGTCAGAATTAATAAAGGGTTGCATACGATGGCAATGTTGAGGAGCTAAATGCCAATGTCGAGGTCTGCTCGCCACGAGAGGGCTTTTGGAAAGATACTCTTTGGTTTGTTCGATAAAGTCACATAGGTAAAAAAATAAAAAATCACAATGTTTCGGAGGCAACACAAGCTTCGATCTTCAGACGGAAGCTTAGCCTACGTGACTTTACCGAAAAAACCAAAGAGTATGGACCCTTGCAGTCACGAAAACTTCAAATCTAGAACTTTTGGAAAGCGTTTGTGTAGTTTTACTATTCCTTTGTTGCAGGAGCTCCAACTAATGTACAACGGTATACACAGTTTGTGTTGCATGGCCATTCGCACTGAGATTTGTCTTTGTTTTTAAATTCATGAGAGATGTGCTCATCTGCGTGTTGTGCTGATGCGGTTGATGGTACACCAGTGTCTTCGAGGAATATCAAAGCCCTGAGAGGGGGTGTGACGTTTGGGTTTCGAACGAGGCGTTTATTCTGGATGTCAACATTGTTCCACTCTTGTTGGCCAGCGTTCTTTCAGATCTGAGTGAGATTTCTAAGATTCTAATAGCGCGATCCCAGAAGGGGGATCGAGGCACACGAGCCGGTGATGTACATTGTCGAGGACAACACTGATCACAGGTCAGCCAATAAAGAATCAGCGGTAGACGGTTGGTGGTGGCAGTTTGGGGTTTGAAATGGCAAAAACTTAAAACATTTCTTAAATTAGCCCATTGTTTAAAATAAACCTGCTATTTTAACTCCCCCCCCCCACCTTTTTAAAGCCAATTAGACAAAAAATGCCACACTTAAAGTCGTAAATTTAACAACAACGACCGTGCAAAATCATAGAATTATTTGTGAACAAAAAAACAAACATCTATTATTTTTCTACCTACGTGACTTTACCGAAAGAACCAAAGAGTATGGATTTCTGCAGTCACAAAAGATTCAAATGGAAGAGATGTACGGGTAAGATATGCATGGGTGAAAAAAGGGTATAATCAGTAATACGACTACGATTACAAATAAAGCTCATCTCTTTGGCCAGCCGCTTTTTTGTTGTGTGGAATTACAGGAAGAAGAGTTTGTCACACAGGCCTGGATCTGGATCGCTGTGCAAATTCTCCCCAACCAACGAAGCCAGCTTGTGGGCATACTGGCACGGAGCTGGCACACGGACAGTGCCAGACCAGTTGTAGTACAGGTGAGTCATCTTGTACGTTAGCCTGAGGAGAGAATTGGGGTAGGGACGGAGGGGGGGGGAAGAGGTGGTAAACAGTTCTTTATTACACCACAACACCATATCATCTAACCCGTAACACATCCACTCTGATCATTTAACAGAGCTGTTGTGTTCTACAGATGTTCACAAATCATGACTTTTTCACATGCAGTCATTCATTTTTAACCTTGCATACAACATTTGCTTACAATAAAGAATGTTCTCCAATGTTTGAAGCAGTTTGTGCTTTGTCTGGTAAAACTATTTCGCGCATAACCAAACTGGGATATTTTTCTACGTTTCACAGAAAAATCAAGGACCCACCTCTGAATGTGGTCTGCGCCAAGCATGAGGCTGTTGAAGATCACCACGTAGTGCGTGGGGGAAACGGTGCCCTGACGCACGTGTTGCGATACCAGGAAGAAGTCAAACCTTTAGAAACACGCACACAGCAGGCGCACACCCTTAACAACATATAAAGTTGATTTTTCATATGCACAGGATACAGCGAAGTGTAACACAGTACAATGATAATGCTTACTTGCATGCTCTCCCAAACAGTGCAGCAGCTATATAAAAAAATACAATAAAATAAGAAAAGCAGAAAAAAGAACTGTATATAAAAAGGTGAGAAATAGAAAGACTTATTCACAGTAAGTATTATTTACACAGAAGTTCTTGCAAATTACTCGACATACTGCCTTTGAACAAACGCCTGGCGACGTGCACCCAAACTTGTCAGATCTTGGAAGCCGTACAGGTTTGTTGAGCCTGTCCAGGCCTTTGGATAGGCAACCACAAAACCTTCATCTGACAGTCAATTGACAAAGGGCTATACATGTATTCGACAGGAAGCAGCCTCTCAATGATCACTTACCAGGTGCAAAAGTAGATTTTTCTTACTCAGATTTCCACGATTTCAAAACATGCACAGTTCAACTTTAAGTCAATTTATTTCGTCTTTAATGGTTGGATGGGAAAAACCAAACCCATAATTCGTGTAAATACAAAATAGTTGGAGACCATTGCAAGCACCGAATATAGAAAGGTTTACTCATGAGGCCCTTTCACGAGGGAATTTTTATGACTTGAATAATCATAAAAGAACCTCCAAAAACACTAAATTTATCACTTCATTTATACAAAAGGAATCTGGTTTGGTGGCACTATAGCCTAGCACCAGATGAATAAATCAAAGGCCATGTGCTCAAGTCCCAGAGTTTAAGTGATCCAATTGTACACATACGTAGGCAACTACTACACCTCGGTCCCCATTAAGTGGCTGGATATGTGACAATGTACGCGTGGTGAAGAAGCAGACTCTCAGAGGGGTGCGGGGTGCTGTTGCTTGCCATAACAGGCCATGCTCACCACTCTTGGCTGGTGGCGACAGTGTCCAGCACGCTGCCGGGAGGCGCGTTCTCCATGGCGCCGTTGTTGTTGAAGAAAATGTTGGTGTTGATCCGCTTCTGTACCACAACCACCAGCATCTTGGGCTGGTACGACAGGTCAAAGGTCCTGAAGCCGTTGGTCAGCTGCATCACCTCGAAGTCACGCACGATTGCCAGCTGGCTGTCAGACACGCCGTCGCGGTACATGATGATCTTCTCCGGGAGGAAGTGGTTTAGCTGTGCAGAGAAAAGGCCAGTTAATGGCAAGTGGCAAGATAGGAAACATTATATACAGGTAGGCATGTGATGACACATCGATTCAATTCTAGTCAATTCTATATTTAAGACTGATTGAGAACCTAAGAGGTGACCATTTATGTTTTATGTTAAAGGCTAAAAAGGAATAGTCCTGCAATTACTTTCTTATGGCGGAAGGGGCTTTTACTAGAGGGAGCTGTATGCGAAAGCCAAGGACCCTTTTAAGTCAAGGCCAGGCAAGGCTGGATCCTCTAGGCTGAGGCCAGGGTCAAGGCTGGTGCTTCTAAGCCAAGCCCTTTGACCGAGGCCACAACTCTTGAGGCCAAGGCCACAACTCTTGAGGCCAAGGCCACAACTCTTGAGGCCAAGGACACAACTCTTGAGGCCAAGGACACAACTCTTGAGGCCAAGGACACAACTCTTGAGGCCAAGGACACAACTCTTGAGGCCAAGGCCACAACTCTTGAGGCCAAGGCCACAACTCTTGAGGCCAAGGCCACAACTCTTGAGGCCAAGGCCACAACTCTTGAGGCCAAGGACACAACTCTTGAGGCCAAGGACACAACTCTTGAGGCCAAGGCCACAACTCTTGAGGCCAAGGCCACAACTCTTGAGGCCAAGGCCAATCATGAGAGCCGAGAAAGTGTCCAAGCTGGCCTCAAGGCCGAGGACTGCTCGAGATAACCCCAGAGAGGAGATGAGATCAGAGACCTACACCAGACATGGGAGTTCAGAGAGCTGTAGAGACATGATTAAATTAGCTGAGATCAAAGTGAAATAAACAAGACAAAAATGCCCGTGGAGGCAAGAAATACATATTGGTCAAATATAGGGAGGTTATGATGCTATGTAACAACATAACGTCTGTATCTTCTTGGTTCTTTCGGTAAAGTCACGTAGAAGGGAAGTAATAAAATAATAAAAGTAAAACATACTAAAATAATTCTCACGACGTTTCGGCCACAACGTCAAGTAGACGGACCTGTTCTCCACCTGAGGACGGCTGCTTGCGTTGTGGCCGAAACGTCGTGAGAATTATTTTATTGTTTTACTTTTATTATTTTATTACTTCCCTTCTACGTGACTTTACCAAAAGAACCAAGAAGATGAATCCCTGCAGTCACGAAAGCTTTAAATCGAAATATAACGTCTGTACTTGCAACATACTATGTCAAGCTGCCTCCCAGCACACTCATTTTATTTAGTGAGGCACCGAAAAATATAGATTAAGAACCATATTATATAAATAAGAACAAAGAATATAATGAATTGGTATAAGGGCGGCCAACCTCCACCAAGCAGTGTGCCACTGGGAAAGGAGTTTGCATATGTTCAGATGAGCATACCTCGTAGTATTTCTTAATGGCCGAGGTCATGCACAGATTGAGTCCATCCACCAGCTCCTGGGCCGTCGACTGTCGCACGACGCGCGAGTACCAGCGGCTCACGGATCTGTATCGACAATGCAGGAGCCCAATCAATCCTAATCCACCAAAGAGAAGGATTTTCAGGCTGTCGGGCAAGCACTGTAAAGCGAGCACCAATACAGGGCGACACAACGCACGACGGGGTAGCGTGAGCAGCAACATGTCTGGCAGACTTTTTTCTCCCAATGCTGATGTTTACATACCGCATTAGATAGTTATTGAAGGCCGAGATGATCTAGGTGTAGGGCTTAAGACCAGTTCTGACATTCACCCTTTGTTAGCATAACCAGTGCCAGCAACCCAGGTAGCTCTGACCAGACAACATTGCATGAATATTCAACTGCAAACCCAAGTACGGTTGTGGTTTTAGCATGTTAGCCAAACCTTTACTACCGAGTGTTAAATACACAAACGTTTTGCAAACCATTCAGTTATTTTACACACAACCTTTCGCAACATACACAAACTCGGGTCAACCTATCAATGCTGGCGTGAGATTGATGCGACTGTCTATGCAAGTCAATACATGTCGAAGGCGATTCATGGGGGAGCAGTAGTGTCATGGTTAGCGCACTGCGTTACGATCCCAGCAACCCGAGTTGAATTCTCGCCAACAATCAATAACAGTGGCGAATATTTGAACCAGTCTTGAGCCTCCCCTAGGTCAACTCCGCCTCAAATGAGTGCCTCGTGCGGTGTTTAAAACATCACCGCTACGGAGACAAAGGCGGTCGATCGTGGTGTTGGCCACCTCGCCTCGTGTGCCGTGCCGTCTTTCATAGGTGCTCGCTAACAGCACTTGCCCCAACAGTCTGCTGAAGCTATAATGGGGGATCTTTGTCTTTGTTAAGGTGATTAACCACTGGAGTCAAAGTAAATGCCACGTGGTACATAAGACACCAACCTGTTCATGCTGGCCACAAAGCCAACCACAGATTGCTTTCCGAGCACCACGTTGTGGAAAACATCAACTCCAACCACCATGATGTTTTTCTGGACACAGAAAGTCATGAATAACTGAACAAGAATGAAAAAGATTATATATATAAAAAAACGAAATCCAGAAGCTATTGCAAATACACCTTAACAATCTGGTTTCTATCGATTGTGAAAGGAACACACCCGACTTTGTGGATTGCAAGGCCAAGTGGCATCCAATTCTAGAGGCTGTATTAATTTAAGTCATGCACTCGTGTGCAGCAATGCAAGGCAAAATCACAAAAGTGCATGGATCTACTCTGTTAAAAACGCTCCCCGTCTTCACCAACCTGCACTGACCAGTTAAATAAGCCCGACCTGCATGGCATGGAAAGGCCCTCATCTAGCAGTGGACTAAAAGGCATCATCTACATTTTAAAATGCACAGCTCCAGTGGCTTCCTAACAGAGGTCGCAACCGGGTACCCGATACCCGTACCCTACCCGATACTCAGCTACCCGGCCGGGTACGGGTAGCCATTTGCGACCCTGGTGCGGCCAGGTACGGGTAGGCCGTGAGTCACTGGTGAGTAACCGTTTGTCACTCATTTCGGGTAGGGTACGGGTAGGGAACGGCTACCCGTACCCAGCCGGGTACGGGTACCCATTTGCGACCCTAGTGCGGCCGGGTATGGGTACGGAATCAAAACCCGTTTGCGACCTCTGCTTCCTAATAATCAGATGAGTGTTCCCAATGGCCACAGAAGCGCATCTGAAAGCACGCGATGCAGTGATCGTCTTTGTTCGTGGTTAGTCAAAAGCTGCTGTGAGGATGACCAAAGTTTGCGTGATGGTTTATGCTCCTTAACGAGATCAGCAAGGTATCGTGGTTCATTTGTGGCAAGCACTTGTGTAATCAGTGTGACCTTATAATGTATTCGTTCAGCAACCAGAAGCCAATGCAGCTCAGTGAGCACCAGACGGACATGGTCGGATCTTGCAGTACCGTTTACGACACATGCCAAAGAATTTTGTACACGCTGCAGCTTTTTCACAGACGTCCCGTAAAGTAGTGAGTTGCAATAATCGAGCCTTGTCGACACTATGCTACACGCCACAGTGTTGGCTATGTCACGACTCAATAGCGGTCGAATGTGTCGCAGAGGCCTGATATTAAAATATCAGGACCTGACTGTATTTTGCACATTGTGATCAAACGACATTCTGGCCGAGTTTGGTGCCAAGGATCTTTAGATGAGCAGAAAACTATCTTGGAGTCTGCGAATGCCACACCTAATCCTCTCACATACTTGCACAGACTTTTATTGAACTTGCCATGTTGTCTGTTTATATTCTTTGGAATCTTTAACGCTTCAATATCTTCGGATCTACGAAGCATATCGAGCTGAAATTTTCTACACAGACTCGCCTCGCTTGACAATTCAAGATTTCATTAAAAAAACAGTCCAGGTCCCACCCATTGTTATCCTATTCGTGTTTTTAACTAAATTTGAATAAGTAGTTTTTACATTTTACCCCCCTTCTTGAAATCACGAATGGTCAAGCCCACCTACGACGACAAACTTGTGGTCCAATCACAGTGGCTGTTGCTGGCCAGCCTATGACCAATGAAAGGAGCGCTTCTATCGCTGCAAGTCATGGCGACGGAGCAGCCGCTGTGCTTCCCCTTTCCTTAGTGCGAGAACAACAAGGACACAAAGTTTGGTTAAAAACAAGCTTTTCAATGCACACTCATATCTGCACTCAAAAGTAGAATATACATTCGTTTGACCCAATATTTATTCAAATTTGATGTGATAAATTAAAGTTGGTGGCTTCTTTTCAATGTTTAATTTTCTTTAAGAATGTTTTTTCTACCTTTGAGTGCTAATAAAAGTGTAAGCATTGAAAAACTTGTTTTTTAAATCTAATTGTTGTCACCCGAGCCTGAGTGCCAACTAGCAGAACCTCTGATTTTCCTGTATTAATCAGAATTTCATTTCGTGCAAAGACACGTGCGCACACCACTGACGCGCAATCTTCGAGGTTACCGAGGCTCTCCATATCGAACTGACTTCACACTGCAGTATACAATTGTGTATTATCAGCATATTGATGGAATTTGATGTGCTGCGATGAGATGACATCGGCGTTCGGAGAGACATATGTTGAAAACAGGAATGGCCTGAAGATGAACCCGTGGTACGCGCACTGTACATGTACTAATTTAGTTACACACATGCATAAACACGCAAGAGTGGTTCGGAATGTATTCTCAGTCTACACACAATCACCCATGAACTTACAAGTAACCTGTGTGCCCAATTACTTTTGCACCGTTTGCTAGACTGTTTTAGAAAAGTAGAAAACGTAGGCATCCATTCCAGAATAACAATTTGTGAATGTGAAAAGGTCAATTAAGTTTCTTCTACGCTGTGCAAAATGTCACCAGTTAAAGCCATCTGTTGACAATACCACACGGGCGCTTACCAGCGGGATGTCAAGAATCCACAGCTCCCCTCCCAGCTTGCAGTTCATCTGCAGCACCACCTTTTGAGCCACGCTGCGCATTCTTTTCTGCTGGCTGATTGTGCGCGTCTGCACCACCTGCACAGGAACCACAGTAGAGGGAGAAACACGCTTACACGGGGGGAGGGGAGGGGTGGGGAGAGGCTGTGTGGAGTTGTTATCCCAATGCGCTGCGTACCTAAATGACCAGAGTTCAATTGCCAGCCACGGTTAGTAACAATGGCGAGCAATATCTGAAATGGTCCTGGACCCCACCTTCACCAACCCATACTGGCCAGCATGCCAAGGTATGGTCAAACATCCCTCGCGTATGACCAATTGTTGTGAGAAGGCCTTCATCAAGCAGGGGATTGATAATAATGTTTTTATTATTTATGATACACACCAAATCTCATTGCTGTCATTCCCCAGGCAGTACCGATGCCTTGACTGTTTGCAACTCGAATCACAATCCACGTATTCATGTGATAATTATTATGCTGCATTGACACTTTATTACCAGAGTCTGTAATCAGAAAAACAAAAGGCACTGGGTAGGTTATGAGGGTTGTCAGACAGCACACATCTTACTACATTTGTATTTGCAATTCTTATTTTGGACTGTCAAACACACAACATAAGATATCATAAATATGACCACGTCGCAACAAAACCCATTATGGTATTATGACATGGTTATATGGGTTTTTAGCTCCATCTTCTGGCCAAAAACATTTTGCAGCACTATACATTGATCGAATCATTGCCATCAAATAAGCACTCCTGAATGAACTGCCGAAAATAAATTAGGAATCAATAAATAGTTAATGTCTATCAAGTGCAATGCATGAAACATTGGTAAATCTTATTATTGTTGAATAATGCCAGACATTGTGTGGTTGTTGATAGATATTTTTAAGTTGGATATCTTCACACTTGCTTTGGTTATGTGGAAAGGTAACTATCGTTGTTCAAGCAACAGGTAATAAAGGCAATTGCGTGGAATAGTTTTGAATCCTAATGCTGGTCCTCTTAGGATTTTTGCTGTAGCTTGGCTGTTCAAGCCTTAGGTTTCGGTGTACATACCAAAGAATTTTGAAAGAGGTCTTGTGGGGTTGGTGCATCTGGATGCGGAGATATCATTTTACAGAGAAACACAAGTGGCACATAACTGGAGAACTACATTTTATTTTCCCCTTAAGCGAGAAATAACAACATTATAACGATCATTTGGACGAAGAAACAAGTTGCCGTTTTGATTAACAATGCCTAATGTGCAGTGGGTAAAGTAATTACTTCAATGCTGTTAACAGCTGGAAAATGTAAATAAGTGACACTACAAACGTTTACCCCTCCTTACAATAGCATTCACTTTGTTTGACAAATCCAATGATTGCTTTAGGTGTGACAAAGTCTGCCATATGTGTACCTGCGATGGCACCGCCAGCTCCACACAGCAGACTTGCTTCACAGTACTATAGCGGTCGTCCCGCAATGTGGAAAAGATGCACATGATCATCTGCACCTGCACGTCGCCCACAGCCAGCAGCAGCACCACCAAATAAACGACTAAGGTGATTAATGCTCAACCGCGGGCACACAGTGTGGCTCACAGACTTTTGAAACCAAAACCCTGGTGGCAATTAAGGCATTTCTCTCAAGTCCGCCGCCCATCACTTACGCCCTGGGAGTAGCTGTAGTTCTTGCGGATGCAGTCGACGTAGGTCTTGGTCTGATCGTTCGGCAGCTCTATTATGTTGGGGAATTGGTTTACGAGGCCCATCGGAGGCCCCACGCTGCACATCATGTTCACAAACTCGCGCACGAGAAACGAGTCCCGCTGCGTGCAGAGCACCTGCCAGTTCTTCATCGCCACCTGTGCATCCACATTGTGCGTAAAAAGCGTACACCGGGCACAAGGCTAAACCGTCAATCCACTCGTGGGGGGAAATAAGTCTTCTGTTTTACTTTGCATTTGTCAATTAATCATCAATAGGGAACGGGGGTCACTAAAGTCAAACAGACGTGCGAATGAAGGAAAACTAAGCGTATGGCTTCGATGTTTTTTCGGTTTGTTGTACCGCACGTTGTTCGGTATTTCACTCCCATGTGCTCATAATCACAGGATTATATAGGAGCTGCTGGATTCAGTTCCTTGAAGAATCAGAATATTTATTTATACTACAGGAATCCCATGAGCTATGACGCTCTCTTTCACATGTGCGCAGTAATTTTCACAAATGACCAGTAGAAGCTCTCACTTAGCGATGAGCAAAACGTAGGACATTGTGCTGAACAACACAGTGCAATAACCAGCAAACACATCGGAGTGTACAGACAACTGAAAAAACCTATTCATTTCTCGTAGTTTAGCAATGTCCTAAATATGGCCATGCTGCTAACACACTTGGCTATGACTTGGAATGTCATAATACATTAACAGATGACTGAACGACTTGAGATGGAATGAAAGTCAGTTATCCCACTAAACAAATCCGTAAGCACATATTCAAGACACAAAGTCACAAACTCGAGCCCAAGGAGGCAGTGACTCACGGCCGTGATGCAGGGGGTGTTGACAATATGGCGTGTCCAATCAGCTTCAGGCGAAACCGCAAAAGCCTTGGACTGCAGTCGAATCATCTCGGGCGGGAGTTGGCGGCCACTCAACTGAAATGGTAAAGGAAAGTCGTTTGCGAGTCCGATACCGGCTATGAAAACACGCGCGAACAATAATTTCACTCGGTTTGGCGCACCTAGCACTCAAGCGCATTGCTAAGTATATAATACATTTCATAGGCAAGCATTTACATTTGTGTTTTATAGGTTTTTGGATGGTGTTAAGTCTTGTTGGTGGTAACTGCTTGGTAAAAATCCCAAGCACTGTGGTAATAATCAATAGGCTCCGAACACCGGCAAAGACTGAGCAAATTTTTTTGTATGCAATAAACATGAGATTTTATTTTATGAACAGAACTGGTAGCTCCACTCACAAGTATGGAGAGAAATGACAGATTACCTTATAAATGTCACTGTCCAATTGCAGGCCCCAGTTTGATAGCTCCTGCTGGGCTTCAGGATTATTCTCCACAGTGCTGATGAACTCCATGACAGAATTGTGTCTCAAGGATGGCCCAAGGCGCATCTGCTCAGATATTGCCTGCAATGGGAAGCACAATTAGTGTACATGTACAAAACATTCATGGAACTTGCTCAATAGTCATCGTGATCGACGCCATTAACAGCATCAACATTTGCCGGCGCTTCCTTTTGCTAAATTCCATAGTTTTACCCAATATTACATTACTTTGTTTAGACATGATTTTTGCGTTTATTTTGTCATCCTTTCCCAGCACCTCCAAATAGCACTGTTCGAAAGAAGTTCAAACATACACACATGGCAACATGTTTGCAACGCATAATACAACATGAGAGTAATTCAATATGAAACTTAAACTCATTCCTGCGGAGGGAGCTGGTAGGAACGTTGGGTTGCTCGGTCAACGGCCAACATCAACGGCGGCGTGGTGTATTCCGCAAATATGGCCGACTGTGAGGGCGGGCACAAGCCGGCGTGAGTAGGTTAAACGTTGAGTTTTATAAGGGCACCATGGGGTGACCAGCCCCTCCCCACCCAGCCCCACCCTAAACACCCAGCCCCACCCTCCCCACCCCCTCCCGAGCGTCACGTGATCACAACTGATATACGAGTGCTTTGATATACGAGTGCTTTGGATTACAAACACGTTTCCGGAACGAATTATGCTCGCAATCCACGGTTTTACTGTATCTGGTTAAGTTGAATAATCAAACTGATAATATGTACTCAATTACATAATTTAAAAGTTCAGCTCTAGTGTTACTTTTTATGGTACTCGACAAGGACACACACCATTTGAGCAACTGCACTGTCTTGGATTATTGAAAGAGCTCCTCCAAAACATATCCCAAGCAACAACAATGTGAATATTTCCTCCTCGCCTCATCCGAAATCAACCTCCAAAAACAACCTTTGGCTGGAGGAAAAGCTTTAACTTGTCCACCGCTTCTGTCGCCATCATAATAACCAAGCTAATGACACGATTGTAAAGACGATCAAATACAAATCATATTAGTAGTGGTGTTGCTATTAGGGGCTGAGTGTATATGTCACGCGCCAGGTGACGTTACTCAGAAGGTAAAATTATCGCTAATGAAACATTGTACACCCAATAACAACCACAAGTTTGAAAGTGTTGCTGAATCCATGTATCATGATCAAGCCAAGCCCAAGTGTCATGTACAAGATTGGTATGAGAATCTGTGCAACATGCTACCTTCATCATGCTGAAGTCTGACCTCATCAGGTCGGTGATGCCAGTCATATAGGCGAGCTCTGGGATGAGGCAAATGGTCTGAATCGCCACCTGCAAAGTCAATCGACACAAGCCCTGTTAACGGTCAGTACAATCTTAATTCCTGATTAATTAGCACTCACGCCTAGTGCCACTGGGTTATAAAAAAAACACCAGGCAAAATAAACAAAGCACCAGGCTTTTAATTCACAATACATTGCCATCATAATGTACCTGTAATTTCAACTGACCAAGTTTGCATAGCACTGCGAGTTTGCATGATTTAAGGAATAAGGACCTCTAGTTACACAAAAGCATTAAAGAGAATAAAATAAAAGACTTAACCTGATCATCTGCCTGATTCCTTTGTTTTGCTCGATGCAAGAGCAGTGGCTGCCCAAGGTCATCTATTGTAATTTCGTACTGAGTCCTGGGAAAAAAAAGAGACGAGACTGGTAAAATGTAATGTGTCCTGGTTGAAAACAGCAAATACAGCTGAAAGTGAAAAGCCATATTTACACCTCTTGTGTGTCATCCTCCATTAGGTTTATTATAATTATTTTATATAGTGTTCATCATAGAATGCATTTTAACACGTAGGCTTTCGCGAACAATATTATAAACTTTTTGGGTTAGATCGCGTTATTTATAAATATTGTCGTAACCCTCTACCACTCGACACGGCCAATCAGATAAAAGTGTCACGTTGACAAAAGACAAATAGTTCACTACTTTAGCCCATCGATGTGTTGAAGAGTAAAACCACAACATCTCAAAACCCTGCAGCAAAAACGCTTGCTAACCAGAGTCCAGCTAGCCGGATTCCGTGCTTCATTCTATTTAGGAATCCCCCCGCTTTAAGTTGCCACGTTGAGTGTTGTTTCCCATACAAGTGCAATGTTTCACATACAAGTTATTTTAAAAACAAAACAAATTTGCCCTTACTTGTAGTACTCAACAAAAGACATGGTTTTCCCAGCCGAATTGAGGAAGGTACTCTTGGGTGTCTTGTCCCAGGCGATGTCATCGATGCGGTAGGTGCGATTGTTGTACCGCGTGATGACCACTTGGCCCACCAAGGCCTTGATGCACTCCTCCTGAAAGTTGGCGCCGCTGTGGCAGCTCTCGTACAGATGGGTCCTGTTAGCGGACATGCCACGATGCACGGAGAGACATAATAAGAAGAGGACATGGGGGGGGGAGGGGTGGGATTCTAAACCAGAAGACTGAATACATTTAAACTCTGTAAAATAATTGAGAAAGAAATAAGAAAATGCATTGCAGAACACCACAAAAATCATTGGAAAATGTAATGGCCAGCAATTGGCAAAATAAATTCCGCAAAAGACAGGTTGAAAATTTTCAATTCACAAATGATAGCCCCTTACTTAGAAGATGGAACCATAACACGGCAGATATTATTTGTATTTATTGGAGGAATTTATGTTGACTTTGATAGCACAATAATGCATATAGCCAAGGAAGTTTAACACGTAGGCTTTCGCGACCAATGTTATTCATAATCAACGGTTTTGGGTTTAGATCGCGTTTATTTATAAATGTGTCGTAACCCTCCACCACCCGACACGGCCAATCAGTAAAAATGTGTCACGTTGACAAAGACAAATAGTTCACTGCTTTAGCCCACCGGTGTGTTGAAGCCACAACATTTACAATTTGAGTACGACGTTTCGCTGGTAATTACAACCAGCATCATCGGGCAATTTGCCAGAATGGTGAGGCTCTGCTGTGTCTCCCGTTCTTATATAGAGCAGCAGCAGGGTGACGTCATCATTAACTCATCAGGTGCAAAGATTCAAGGGGGGAGTGATTGTAATTATATACTAGATTAGTAATCAGGCTATTGTTACGATGCGAGTTGTAGATTAGTAATCATTTGGAATGTGTTTTATTGTGATTATGCTACATTAGTAATCAGTTAGTGGTTGTTTCCCTTATAAGTATGTGTAATGTATCTTATTTAATAATACGCCAAGGAAATTAACCATTATTCTTCAGATGAAGAGGTGTCACAGTTGAAAAAGAAAACCAAAAGATTTTAAATGTAAATCTCTTGGACCAAATAGTTTTAACTGTGGTCATCAAAGTAGTCTGGGTCCCATTGTTGGAACAACAGCAGTAACATACATATTTGTTAAATGTTACACCATCATGGAAATATAAAAAAAAATATAAAAAATAATGGTAAAAAAAACCTATACTACAGATGCATTAGCCGCTTATTGCAACTAAATAACTATTCATATAGATAATTGGGAATTGAATAAAGTGAAATTTAGAATCCAACAAATCACAGGAGAAAAGTTTACGAAAGGTTTCTCTACCAGACCAAACAATATCATGTTGAACAAAAAACAATTCATTTTAATGCCACTGTTTGCCTAGCCTTTGTAGGCTACACAGATTGCAAAAATGTTTTACATGTTGGAGGGACACAATTGGAAAACATCAGAGAATATATATATATACCTAGGGCAGTTATTACAGGCAAGCCCGGGATCAAAATGATAGCGCACATGAGCAGCAGCAGCAACACAGGGCCGCTCAACTTCATGCTACACTCACATGACCTCCAGCACGCTGTCCATGCGCAAAACTCGATGGGACACATCGAGCATCAGCATCAATCCACCGTCTTTCTTTTGCACAGCAACGATGTAGCCAGGCCAAATATGAATTCTGTGGGTACATGGCCAGGTCATCCAGGTAAAGAAGAATAAGAATGCAGACGGAGGCGAGTTTTTAGTAAAACTTTGAACGCATGAACACGAGTAAGCATTATTAAATAAAATATCAGAATATTAAGCACTCTAGCAGCATTAGGAATCACATATAAATGTTATCATCAATACTTTAGTTTCACTGTCATTTTAGACATTGCTTAAGGGGCAGTTTAAACATATACATCTCAGTTGTTAAGCACAAGCCCAAAAACACCAAGCAGTAAGCAGAAAAAACTAAACTATTGAACGTGTATTAGATTAAGGTTAATGTAAGGGATTAATAATCGTTAATGACTGCCCAGGGCAGAAATACAGATTCAAGTAAAGCACGGACTACATTGTAGTTGACCTGTATCTGTTGATGACGATTGGCTTTCGAGGATTCAAGAAACTTTTTCCAACCAACTTTAATTCCAGCAATCGCATTATCCTAAGCAGAGGAAACAAGGCAGACTCTATTGTTTCAAAACAACGCAACAATTAGTGAGAAATGCAAGTACAAACTGCAGTAATATTAACTATATACACCGTCAAATTATATATTCTCACTTTTTAAATATGATGTTGTAGATGGGCAGACAGAGGTCTGAATCTGGCTCAATGATCTTGGTGCACTTGATGGACAGGGTTATCTCCACTCCGTCTGAATTTCGCTTGGAAGTGAGGTTTAGCTGACGAACCCACAATTAAACACACCAAAAACAACAATAATCTAACTTCAGTAAACCATTATGGCAAAAAAAAACCACTACCACGTAACAAGTTTAAACGAACATCGAATATTGCACCCAAAGCTTTAAGACCTCATGATTATTACCTTGTGACAAGGGTAAATCAACAGAGTATAAGGAAGTATGGCGGCACTTGGGAGTTGGAAAACAATAAAGAAAGTTATTAGAATCTCCAGCACTTACGTTGTCGTCGAGTTTACGAGGCAGATACAGGACACACCCATCAAACGCTTTCGTGTTGCCGATCACCGACTTGTGCTCGTTAAGTAAGCCAAAGCGAGTATTCGTGCTGTCCACTTCAGGGCTGTCCGAGGCACAGGTGAGATCGTTAGCAGTCGCATATACTTAAGACATGTCAAATGTCTCGATTAAGCTTGTGTACGGTGGGCAGAAAATGGTTTTATGAGCTAATAAACTCTTGAGACCCGACTGACTGGAGAGTGAGGCAAGAATGCGAGCTCACATGCACAAGTTTGCATGCATAAGCTACCACTTCGTTGGGAGATTTAAATGGCTGCAAGAAAACGCAGCTTCAGAGTTGTACACCCAATTTTGCGACATCTTGTGAGAACACAATTGTACATTTAAATTAAAATATTGATATTGCACTTGATAACACCCTGTTTAGACATTATTACACAAATCTATATATATATAAAAAAGGGAAATTTGTGGATATGTACGTCTGTTCGAAATGTTTAGCATACTTCCCAACATGCTACAAACTTGAAATTTGGCATGTGCGTAGCTTCCATACTGTACACAATGTAAAAAGTATAAAAATAGACTTTTGTATTTTGGGGGGGGAAATGACCATGCAGTGTGGCGTCAACCCGCATACAGGACTGGCGAGAATCGATATCTGGTGAGCGTTTGTGGTATCGATTAAACGGAAATAGGCTGATTCTAAAGAAATCTACAACCTTCCGATTCCTTTTCTCGAATTAAAGAATCGATTCTTGGCGCGAGAGCGTAAGTTTTTTTTCTACCGCGTGTTAAATAAAACAAAAAATAATATATCACGATGTTTCGACCGCTTGTGTTGCGATCGAAACGTTGTGATGTTATTTTGTTTTATTAAAATTTTCTACCTACGTGACTTTACCGAAAGAACCAAAGAGTATGGTTTTCTGCAATCACGAAAGCTTTATATCAATATTTAAAAATATGTAAGCATTTCGAGTGGGTGTGATAATCGTTGCGCAAATGCTTACTGTTTGAAGTTGTCAACTTTAAATGTGTACGTGTCATTACGCGAGCTGTTCCACCTCAATAGATTATCTCCAGGCTAAATATTTTTTTTTTATAAATTAAAGTGGTGGGTCACCCTTGCACAAAAAGTCAATGCTTTTTGTATCTCAACGGGTTAATGCTACCACCTGTTCAAATAAAGGAGACACTTAAGACTGTCTGGCAGTGATGTAATCGGCAAGTCTACAGACTAATTTGTAAAAAACAAGTCCCACCTGAATGTCACGTGATACTGGTAGATGGCTTCGTTGGAGCACCTCAAACGGATGTAATTTGTTGCAATCTCCAGAGGAGACCCATAGGTTCCGATTTTTTGTATAGGTTTCCTAACACAGCATTCCAGACATAACAGCATGCCAAACACATTGCCAGCTGTCCTTTAATAGTTACACCCAAGACCTACAAAAATATTAAAAACACTTTTATGGTGTGATTTCAGCCAAGCAAATCACTCACCCTTCTACATAACCAAAATGTTGTCAGATGAAATGGGGGATTTTTTTTTCCCTCTACACCAATTATGACATCGGCACTGTTACAAGAGGAAATATTGAAACAGAACGCTAGCGATGCATCACTCTGTCAATGACAAGTCCCACAGAATGTCACCAATTTACCAGTGGAAATGACTTAAAACAGGTCTTTATCTACATCTTATTTCCACTGAAACATTTGGATAACTGAATTAAACTTAAGTAAAAAAAACTACGCATAATACGAGAATAGGTTTTTCCCCTTTTATCTGGCAACATAATATATGGCTTTATCCAGTCACTGAAAGACTGCTTTGGATGTGGCAACTAAAGTTCGAGAGCCCCCGTAAAGGGCTCATGGATTATGGACACACATATCAGTAAGATACTCTGAGAGGAAAGACAGCATGTGTGTCCTTCAACCTATATTTGACCAGCATTAAGAGTTATGATTAAACAACCCTCAAAACTGACAGGCTAAAAGCCATGGGCCTCTCCGAGGCATTTCATCACCTCCACACCACAGGGAATATTTTACAACAAGGAATCACAACGAGCCGCTCACTCACTCGACAGGGAGCGTGGCAACGGACAGCTTGCTGAAGGTTGACTCCAGGGAGGTAGAGCTGCCTGATTCCACCGAAGTGGACTGCGGCTGGCGAGAAGTCTCGGAGGGAGTCTGCAGTCCCAGAGAGGACGTGGGGGAAGAGATGGACCTTCCCCGTCCACCTAACACTGCAATTGATAATAATAATTATATTTTGTTCATGCAAAATGCACCTCAATGCTAGAAAAGACAACAGCAAAACATATTTAATGCCCCTTGCAAAAAAAACATAGCACATCCAAAACAAGGTCAACTCAATTAAAGGCTATATATAGTAAACAATAAGCAACAGACTCTTTGGTTCTCTCGGTAAAGTCACGTAGGTATAAAATAAAATAAATCACGTTTCGATCGCAACACAAGCAGTAGTCCTCAGGCGGAAAAAATATCATCCAGCAGTGGAACTGCTGAACTAGCGAGAAAGCAGCTACAACAAGGCTATATGTAGCCTTGTACCTACGTGAATTGACCTAAAGAACCAAAGAGTATGGATTCCTGCAGTCACGAAAGCTTAAAATCAAGAATAAGCAACATGTTGCCAAGATATGGCATCGTTACATTAAGATGCCCTAAAGCAGATGACAACAATGTCAATGGGACCTTAGTACCCCCCTCTTTCCCACTGGCATCTCAGAGCAGAGCCAGCATGGGACTCTCATGGACCCGGTAATTTTCCACTCTAGAGAACCCCTCTAGAGGTTGGTCAGCTCTTCATCCTGGCCAGAAGTTGGAAGTGGGAAGAGGTGGGAATGCCACACTTTACCCCACCACACATGACCTGCTGAATATATATTTACGTACAATTAAACAAAAGAAGCAACTAAACGGATAAGACAGCTCTAACCTGCATGAAGGACACTTTCCTGTTGAGCCAAATGGGCCCTGTCAGGAGATGGCAGGGTAGCCCTGCTGGGCCCAATATACGAGACCCCAGATGAGCTTGGAAGCAAAGCCAATCCATGCTCATCCCTCTCCAAGGAAGCAGTAGCACCGGGAGCAGCAAGGAGTCCCTGCTGTATTACCCCTCGCCCAAAGCTTCAGCAAAGCGCACACAGAGGACAAATTACACAATCATACAAGTGAGCAGAAAATGGACACGTTCCAAAGAAAAATTAAATGTGCACATGAGCAACATACAATGGACAAGTTCACTGTGAATTCTGCGTAAACAATGTATTTATTAAACAGATTATAAAAAACATCAGTTATAGATTGAGTACCATATATGGTCTGCCAGGAAAGCTTTAATTATAATTCATAATCATCATTCCATTACTTTATTTAGCAATGCATAATTAAGATGCCTGGGAAATACAGAGGTTTGCAACATAGTTGGACATACCTAATAACTTCTTTACCGAATGGCCCCGTTTCTGCACCTCTGTATAGTCCACTGCTTGACGAAGCCACCGGCGATTTTGATTCCTGTAACCCTTGAGCGACCTGTCTTCCAGCATTCCCAGCTGAGAAAATTCCTCGACCTGGTGTGTTGGAATCATTTTGGTTTAAATGCAAGAAACATTAATTAGCTTTATTCTTTGGTTCTTTCGGTAAAGTCACGTATAAAGATAAAATAATAAATTAAATTAAATACTAGCATACGACGTTTTGATTGCAACACAAGCAATCATCATCAGGTATAAATTAAATAGAAACACAAATCTAGTATACTTAGAAATGTAATGTAATACAACAGAGAGTCGGATAACATAACAGTCAACACCCTATCTGGTTGATTACGTTCTTCCTGAGAATGCTACATTTGAGAGAGAGAGATTAAACACAGAACCAGAAACATAGACAGACATATAAGCAGACAGACGTCGTATGCTAGTATTTAATTTAATATTTTATCTTTATATGTGACTTTACCGAAAGAACCAAAGAATAATTCCTGCAGTCACGAAAGCTCCAAATTAAGATTAATTAGCTTTTCTGTTCAATCTGTGTGTATGGTGGTTTTTTGTGATCAGTTCTCAATTTATAATTTTAAAAAAATGACTTAATATTGCAGCCAGTGGTCCACTCAGCCCATCATCCCTCCATGATCAATAATTTGATTACTACATTTGTATCACGTCAAAAGTGGTCACACTATGGAGAGTGACTATAATAATGGACACGTGGAATTCCTGCCACTGGTTAAAAGTTATCAACAGAGGTGAGTACTGCCCAGTGTGACGACATGACCACACACCAAAACACTCCTTCACATATTTACAAAATGGCAGGAATGACAATGCTCTACTGTACTATGCAATTGGAAAAATAACCCCCCATTTATAAAGTTCTGGATGAACATGTTCCATTCAGCTGCTTTAGAGCATCTGAGCGATAGGGTGCAGGGCAGACTAGGGGTTTACTAAAATAATTTCGCTGCCATTTAAAGTCCACCACTCCTCACAACTACTTGCAATCATCCATAAACTATGAGTTTTACTGATATAACGTTTTGGTCTGGTTCTTCCACGTGTCCCTTTTATGTATATGCATAATGCACCTCGATGCTAGAAAAGACAGCAGCAAAAAATATATATCTATTGCCCCTCCCCACACTGGAAGAACTACACAGTTCACGTTGTATCAAAAAAGCACAGAACATTATAAAGGACTCTTCTCACCCTGGACACTCACTGTTTGAGCTGTTGCCATCAGGCAGACGATTCAGATCAGTCAAAACAAGGACAAACAGATTAAAACAGAGCTTTTATCCTACAGCGATCACCACACTCAATAATGCTAATTAATTATTAAGTAATAGTGTTTACAATTGATTGAAATAGAGATGTGCAATGACAAATGTAACCTTATGTGGGTATACTTGGGCTGTTTTTATATATAGTATAAATTGATTATCTTTCATTTAATTTTATTTTTATTTTCTTGTTTTATTTAATTTAAATTTATGAATGATGCCCTGACTGGTGAGCATTTTTAATTTCGTTGTACTGGTGACAATGACAATAAACGATCTATCTATCCTTGCAAAAACACATAGCACACCCAAAACAAAGTCAACTGAAGTAAAAGCTGTATTAAACAATAAGCAACATGTTGCCAAGATATGGCAACATTACATTAAGATGCCCTAACAAGATGACAACAATGTCAATGGGACCTTAGTACCCCCCCTCTTTCCTACTGGCATCTCTGTGCAAAGCCAGCATGGGACTCTCATGGACCCAGTGATTTTCCACTCTAGAGAGCCCCTCTAGAGGTTGGTCAGCTCTTCATCCTGGCCAGAGGTTTGTAAGTGGGAAGAGGTGGGAATACCACACTTACCCCACCACACATGACCTGCTAATTATATATTTACGTATAATTAAACAAAAGAACTAAACGGATAAGACAGCTCTAACCTTCATGAAGGACACTTTCCTGTTGAGCCAAATGGGCCCTTTCAGGAGATGGCAGGGTAGCCCTGCTGGGCCCAATATACGAGACCCCAGATGAGCTTGGAAGCAAAGACAATCCATGATCACCCCTCTCCAAGGCAGCAGTAACAACGGGAGCAGCAAGAAGTCCCTGCTGTATTACGCCTCGTCCGAAGCTTCAGCAAAGCGCACAGGACAAATTACACAATCACACAAGTGGGCAGAAGATGGACACATTCCAACTAAACTAAATGTGCACATGAGCAGCACACAATGGACAACAAGTTAACTGTTAATTCTGCATAAACAATGTATTTATTAAACAGATTATAAAAACATCAGTTATAGATTGAGTACCATATAAGGTCTGCCAGGAAAGCTTCAATTATAATTAATAATTTTATTACGTTATTAAGCAATGCATAATTAAGATGCCTGGGAAATTCAAAAACGAACAACATAGTTGGACATACCTAATAACTTCTTTACCGATCGGCTCCGTTTCTGCACCTCTGTATAGTCCACTGCTTGACGAAGCCACCGACGGTTTTGATTCCTGTAACCCTTGGGCGACCTGTCTTCCAGCATTCCCAGCTGATAAAATTCCTCGACCTGTTGTATTGGAATACTTTTGGTTTAAATGCAAGAAACATTAATTAGCTTTTCTGTCCAATCTGTATGTATGGTGGTTTTTTGTGATCAGAGTTCTCAATATATAATAAAAAAAAGACTTAATATTGCAGTCAGTGGTCCACTCAGCCCATCATCCCTCCATGATCAATAATTTGACTACTACATTTGTATTATGTCAAAAGTGGTCACACTATGGAGAGTGACTATAATTATGGACATGTGGAATTCCTGCCACTGGTTAAAAGTTAACAGAGGTGAGTACTGCCCAGTGTGACTTAACATGTGCTTTGTAGACATGACCACACACCAAAACATGCCTTCACATATTTACAAAATGGCAGGAATGACAATGCTCTACTGTACTATGCAATTGGAAAAAAAAACATAAGCCCCTATGTATAAAGTTTGGGATGAACAACATGTTCCATTCAGCTGCTTTACAACATTTGACCTTTCGGGTGCAGGGCAGACTAGGGGATGACCAAAATAATTTGGCTGCTATTTAAAGTCCACCACTCCTCACAACTACTTGCAATCATTTATAAACTATGAGTTTTACTGATATAATATTTTGGTAGGTTTCTCCCTTGTGTCCCTTTTATGTTCCAGATTGTGTAGCAGCAAGCCATCACCCAATCCTTCATCTTTGTTTGCAGTTTTCTTTTCTTGGGAGGGAAAGTGTAGAATAACTGAAACCCCTCCCATTTTGACTTCAGAGGCTAACTTCTTTGCCTGATGATGACCGCTTGTGTTGCGATCGAAACGTCGTAGTTTCTTGTTATTTTCTTTGAAAGTATCTACGTGACTTTACCGAAAGACCCAAAGAATATGAATCCCTCCCATGTCACGGCTTTGCTTTCCTTATTTATATTTTGAAAAAAAAAATTGTTCAGTGTAATGATAAAACTAGCATATGAAATGTTCAAAAGTATGAACCAAGTGGGATATGTCATTTCACACCATTGCCTTCTTGAGTCAAAATAAATTCAGGTATAATGCAGCTGGAAACATTTTTACCACAGGACCTACCAAAAATGCTGAGGCCAGGTCCCAGAGCCCCTGGGGGTCTGTGCTGCAGGCTGGCCAGCAAAGTGCTACGCCGTCCATAACTTGGAACCTGATGATATAATTAAGGACTCATGTCACTATCCAAGCAAACACAAACAATATTTCGCATTCCTACACATTCACAAAGTATTTTTTGCCGTTCAGCTCAAAACGCCATTAAAAATGTGACTCAAAATATTTGATGGGCAAAATTACCAATTTTGCATCCACAGAAACGTGGTATTGAATTCTGTCTGCCCTACAATTATAAGACTTTCTGAAAAAATATACCAACTTATTTTTTTCTGTCATGAAAAGTCGACTTTAAATTCTGCCCTGAAAAATATTAAAATGCCTAAAACTTCTTATACCAAAGTACAACATGAACATTACATTGAAAAATGATAGTTAATCTAGTAATGCCCTGGTATTATAAGGAATACAGACGACTCCATGAGCCTCTGAAATATACCGTCCATAAATGACGTCACGCGATTTTGGACGATTTTTGACCCCCCCCCCTCGTCACACGGAGTCACAAAAAGTCAGACCCCCCAAATATGACGTCACAAAGCTCTGCCCCCCCCCCCAAAACCATATTTCCATTTTGAAAATAAAACATGTTTTAAACTATTGTCATTGTAGTGAGTATTTAATGTGGCGCTGCACTCTGATGTTGTAGGAGAAAACATTTATTAAAAAGTATAATTAAGTAGAACGTGTTGTCTATTTATTTAAAATTGCGCATTTTGATGTGACGTCACATTTCTCAACCCACCCCCCTCGTCACAAATGTCTGACACCCCCCCCCCCTAGGTGCGTGACGTCATTTATGGACGGCCCCTAAATTGCAATGAAAAATTACGACGGTAAATGACAACCTCCGATGCAGCACATCACCTGCATTTGGTCATAGGCTGCCCCTGCCGTAGTTGGCTGCTGCTCCAGGCTGTGCTGGGTAGGACGTGGAGTCTCTGGGGGTTTGGGCTCGGTTGGGGGCAGCATGGAACGACCCCTGCCAAACCGCCTCTCTCCATGGTCTGCCATCCTCTACGCTCAAGAGTAAACGTCAAACACAATATTTAGCATGACGATAACAGGAATAACATTAAATGCATAGAGGCATATGCTGTCCTCTTGTTAAAAGCAAATAAACAGTACCGATACATTAGAGGGGGCCCTGTCAATAACATCTGGCAGTTTGCCAGCAATTATTTAAACACATTCCTGTGGAGGGAGCTGGTAGGAACGTTGGGTTGCTCGGTCAATGGCCAGGGTCAACGGCGGCGTGGTGTATTCCGCAAATATGGCCGAATGAGGGCGGGCACAAGCCGGCGTGAGTAGGTTAAAAGTTGAGTTTTATAAGGGTACCACGGGGTGACCAGCCCCTCCCCACCTTCCCCACCCATCCCCTCCCATTTTTGGATGCACGACGGACGGACACAATAATCCCGTGGGCTGGTGGAACCAGGTGGTTCCTACCAGTAGCAAACCTGTCTCTGCTGATGAGACCGCACATAGAAAACGGTGTAATTGTTTTTACTGAATCAATGCTGCTGAAATGATGCACTTCCTAAAGGCCGTGGGGCCAAAGGTCTGCATTAAAACAATTGTGGAGACGAATATATTAATGGGAGTAAACATTTTCACTGTCATTTTATTACAGAACTTTAATACCATTTAACCTCCCAGTAACCAAAAACCACAGCTCACATCCAACTCTCAAAACGCAACTGACGAACCACGAGGGCATCACGTGACAGACGATGTGCGTAACCCCTCCCCCACGAGGAACAGAGAGACGGGGATCCCCTCCCCCACGAGGAACAGAGAGACGGGGATCCCCTCCCCCACGAGGAACAGAGAGACGGGGTCCCCTCCCCCACGAGGAACACAGAGACGGGGTCCCCTCCCCCACGGGGAACACAGAGACGGGGTCCCCTCCCCCACGAGGAACAGAGAGACGGGGTCCCCTCCCCCACGGGGAACACAGAGACGGGGTCCCCTCCCCCACGGGGAACACAGAGACGGGGTCCCCTCCCCCACGAGGAACAGAGAGACGGGGATCCCCTCCCCCACGAGGAACAGAGAGACGGGGATCCCCTCCCCCACGAGGAACAGAGAGACGGGGTCCCCTCCCCCACGAGGAACACAGAGACGGGGTCCCCTCCCCCACGGGGAACACAGAGACGGGGTCCCCTCCCCCACGAGGAACAGAGAGACGGGGTCCCCTCCCCCACGGGGAACACAGAGACGGGGGTCCCCTCCCCCACGAGGAACACAGAGACGGGGTCCCCTCCCCCACGAGGAACAAAGGGACGGGGGTCCCCTCCCCCACCAGGAGCACAGAGACTGGGGTCCCCTCCCCCACGAGGAACACAGACGGGGGTCCCCTCCCCCACGAGGAACACAGACGGGGTCCCCTCCCCCACGAGGAACAAAGGGACGGGGGTCCCCTCCCCCACCAGGAGCACAGAGACTGGGGTCCCCTCCCCCACGAGGAACACAGACGGGGTCCCCTCCCCCACCAGGAGCACAGAGACTGGGGTCCCCTCCCCCACCAGGAGCACAGAGACTGGGGTCCCCTCCCCCACGAGGAACACAGACGGGGGTCCCCTCCCCCACGAGGAACACAGAGACGGGGTCCCCTCCCCCACGGGGAACACAGAGACGGGGTCCCCTCCCCCACGGGGAACACAGAGACGGGGGTCCCCTCCCCCACGAGGAACACAGAGACGGGGTCCCCTCCCCCACGGGGAACACAGACGGGGTCCCCTCCCCCACGGGGAACACAGAGACGGGGTCCCCTCCCCCACGAGGAACACAGAGATGGGGTCCCCTCCCCCACGAGGGGGCCCCCCTCCCCCACGGGGAACACAGAGACGGGGGTCCCCTCCCCCACAAGGAACACAGAGACGGGGTCCCCCCCCCCCCCCACGAGGGGGTCCCCCTCCCCCACGCCGGTGGTAGCCATCATTATACCGAATACCACATCTCCAACATAAATACAAAACGAAAGACACAATCCTCAAGTGACCACTGGTGGGGGCCTTGCGCTCCTCCACGCAAAACTCTCTCTCGTCCCCGCCAGCAGACCTAAAACATCATCATATAGCGCCTTAGATTTGTCAATCGACACAATCGAATGGAGTCTGAAGAGTACCGAATGGAAGGAAGATCGAAGCACCGCGTGCCACTCCGACTCGCCCGCCACGTGTCCGCCACGACCCTCCACGCCACGTGACTCTCTCCGTCGCGCCGACACTGGATTGGTCGATTCGATCACCCACGTGACAACCCCCCCCCGCCTCCCGGCCTAAATTTTTGAAAGCGTCCAATCAGAGGTCGTCTAACGGCAGCTCGATGTGGGCCCCGCCCCCTCCTCCTCCTCCAATCTCGCGAGACTTCGTGAGCCAAGTGTTGTTTGGGGGAGCACGCTCGTAATCTCGCGATAACTCGCGATGTTGCTGGGGGTGGCGGTGTGTGTAGAGAGCCCACGTGGCCAGCCACCGCATGCCCGCATTGAGGGCACGACACGGGCTGGTGAAGAGATGGAGCTGATGCGGTAGGGGGTGGGGGACGTGGGGCTGAGTGGACGACTTGCCGACGAGGCTCGTGAAGGACGCTGCTGCTGCTGGGCAGGTGGGGGCAGTCGCCCTCCAGCAACGACGCTCACAACAACGAGCGGAACGCCAGGCGGATAAAGGAAGCAAGTTGGAACAGCTGGTGGTGGGGCATCTTACGGTCATCTCAGTCAGTCGACTCATGGCACCTGCTGGGTCTGTCCCCGAGACCTCCTAGGCCAGCTAGCGTTCGACAATTCACGTGGCCTCAAGGTGCACCTAGCCTGGCACAGACGCCGTGGTGACGCCACCGCTCAATGAAGGCCTCCTCCACACGACGTCGTCTTTAGATGCAGTAATCCACCGCTCCTCGTCATCCATGCAACCGGCTGGAATGTGGAATGTCACAAACTTTGTACACTGCCGGTCTCCACATTCAGTGCCTATAATCGACCAAATGCTGCTGCACAAAAACCGCACTCCCAAAAGGTCCGTGTGGCTGGTGGGATGTGTAACAATATGTATGTATAATAATTGGCTTTTTACCCTTTTATATGGCAACAAAACTTGACACTTTTTTTTACAAGGAGTCATGTTTGCATTGACCACAATACCGGCAGTCGGAATGCAAACAAAAGACATAACTATAACTAATAATGTATGCACTGTCCTTGAAGTTGATTGGTCCACACCCGTGTCAGTTTTGTTGCCAGATTAAAGGGTAAAAATCCAATTATCATATTTTGCTACTGGCAAATGAGGTTCCAATGGTGGAATATGTATGTACCTATGAATACCTATTCTTGGTTCTTTCGGTAAAGTCTTATGTTTTATTTGTATTATTTCCCTTCTACGTGACTTTACCGAAAGAACCAAGAATATGAATCCATGCAGTCACGAAAGTTTTAAATAGAAATCTATGCATACCTGTTAAACCCATGCGGTGTTACCCGTATTATTGTGCAGGTAAATTGAGTTTTCAGGTCCATACGGCGTATAACCATTTAAATTACGGGCAAAATAATGTCTTATTTGTGTTTCTCCCTTGTGATGGGACTTTGTAAGATGAACGTTGAGATCTATAAGGGGCACTGGGTGACCAATAATGTCTGAATTAGTCTGCAATAAGGTAGGGCACTGATAAGGGGTTGACATTATTGCCTAATGTGGCGGGATAAACGTGATACAATCAGTAATATAAAAAAAATTAACACGCTTTAATGAAATGTACCCTACTAGTTATGGAAGAACTCCACGACTCCAAGAATTGGCCCCGAGGCTTGCCATAACGTAAGGAACCGTGGTGATTTACAGCCAACGTGAGTTGAGCGTGGACAATTAGAGCCAAGCCGAAACATAACAGTTTAAAATAATGTTTAAAAATACTTTTGTTTATGATAGAATATGGTATTGTCATCAGTATGACATAAGTATACCAAGTTTGCAGTCTATACCACATTGGGAAGTGGGTTAAAATTGAGTTCCAAGATTTGAGGATACAACAACAGTTAAATAAAAGCATGTAATAACAAAAGATGCGTTTGCTTATTTCTTTAAAATGTACCGTATGTACATCACACGCAATTGTGTCAATTCTTTCATTTTTGGGCAGCAGAGGGTTAGTGCAGCCAGTTCCCATTGAGAAGCCCACTGGCATTGTGTTTAAATGATATTCATGACGGTAAACTATCAGGAAGTACCCGGCGTTGCCCGGGTACTTTTGTGAATGTAGAGTGGCTCAATCACTATATTCAGGAGGAGGGGGGGTCGATGGCGTTACAGAAATTGTTAAGATTTCGCTTTGCCATGGGGCTGCCATTAAATGTAATATAACGTGCCCACAATAGGGTTACGGCATGATACAGCGAAGCTGGTTTGAAGTGTGGATGAAGCCGAGGTGTTTGTCTCACGGAGGTTGACTGTTAATTGGAATCTCCCAACGTTTAATTCTGTTGATGCAATCAACGGCGATTGTGAGATTAACTTGATGATGATGAGGGGGTCATGGTGCAACTTGTTGGATGTGCGGGGCCAGGTTCACGTGTGCTGGCATCACTGGGAGCGTGTGGGGTGCCGTTTGGGGGGTCTGTGGGCCCCCCCTATATACAATGTTGGCTCGCCATGTGGCCAAGGTTTTCTGATGAGTTTTTAAAAGGAAACCAACCCTGCTAAGTTTGGCGGTGATAGCTTTAACGGTCTGGATTTGTATTCGGAACGGACATACTTTCCTTTTTATTACAAATCGAAGATAGATGGAAGTTGGGCATTGCCCACTTTCTTCCAACGTTTGTGTCAATTCAAAATTGTACGGTACTCAATACGTTGAGATCGAAAACGTCAAAAGTGAGGATTTTCCCCGATTGTAAGGTATAACGACATACTTAATCGGAAAACGAAATGCAAACTTTCTTAGCCGGAGGTTCAAGCTTTAAATTTGTACGTTTTGTGGGGGGAAAGGTGCGAGATAAAAAAAAGTACGTAACTTTGGTTTACGGCTTTGAAAGTGCAGGACCCTTCAAAATAAGGATACAAAACTCATATGCTTGGGTTAAAGAAAATCCCATACAATTGACGTGTAGGTCTTGAATCAAATTTGGAAAAAGTAAAAAAATATATCAAACTATATTTTGTGAAATAGCATTTACCTTTCTGGAAAAAAGTTTGAAACTTATTTTCTTTATTGAAGAACTTAGGTGATTCTTTTCATTGGTCTGGCATTTGCTCATCGGATGGCTCCCACGTTTCATGTGGCTACCACGTTTCCTCGAGGATTAAAGTGCTTTATTGAGTTCCTATTTGATGCAATAAATATGCAATACAATACATACAATATTTAATACTCTTATTACTCTTTGGTCCTTTCGGTATTTACCAGGTAAAGCCCACAGAGCTTTTTGCTCTTTTTCATAGGCGACCTGGCGACACACAGCTCATCGTAGTGGCTTAGATGTGGGAATTTATAAGAGCCAAATAATATAAATGGGGTAAAACTGGAGGACCCAGAGAGAAATCCATACGACCACAGGGAGAACATAACTCTAACAGCAACATGCTGTAATGTACATGTACAGTCCTTGAATATTTGTGGACAATTGATTAGTCAAGTTAATTTAACACTTTTTTTTATTGGGGAAGGGGTAAACTATGTTAAAACATGCATAACACGTCAAATGCGTCAAGCAAAACTGAATATAACCTATCTGGTCTTCCACAAAACTAATGGTCCATGGTATTTTTGAAAACTGGATTCTCCATTACTGAAGTACTCAAAAACTTAGCAACATTATAATTATGAATCGTGGAGGGTATTCAAAATATTTTACATCACTTTAAAATAACCATGTAGAGAGTCCTTTTTCAATCCACTGTTGGACGAAACCCTCCCCCTGATGGGAGAGTCATGGGCAGGGGTCGGCAACCAAAATAAGCAATATTTTTTCAGGAGTTACAATGCATATGCATGAGATGGTCCTTAAAGAGCCGCATGTGGTTTCGGAACCTCATGTTTCTGATCTCTTGTCATGGTGGCGGTGGTTGGTTGACCATATTTCATGCTGGTCTGTGTTGGTTTGTAAACGAGTGGCCCAGAAACGGTTGATATTGCCGCTGATGAAATCTAATTAAGGTAGCCAGTTTCAATGCGTTTCACACTAACCACTGGGCCACCATTCCACTCCCGATTTAACTTACTCTTACCATGCAATATGAAAAAGAACTAATCAACTTTACAAGACCAGACAGGTTTTTTTTTTTGTGAAAAGGTATATTTCTGTAATCTGTGGTCCTAAGGTCTGGAAAGCCGACAATGGCCTAAATAGTTTATAACTAGGCATGCATACATTTCCAGGTGGACAATATATCAGACAATGTTTTGGTTATATGAATCTGAAGACAAAAAACATTCCTGCGGAGGGAGCTGATAGGAAAGCTGGGTTGCTCGGTCAATGGCCAGGGTCAACGGCGGCGTGGTGTATTCCGCAAATATGGCCGACTGAGGGCGGGCACAAGCCGGCATGAGGAAGTTAAACGTTAAGTTTTATAAGGGCACCACGGGGTGACCAGCCCCTCACCACCCAGCCCCAGCCCCTCCCCACCCTCCGGACCCAGCCCCTCCCCACCCTCTCCTCTCCACCCAGCCCCACCCCTCCCATTTTTGGATGCAGGACGGACGGACACAATAATCCCCTGTGGGTTGGTGTAACCAGGAGGTTCCTACCAGTATAAAGAACAGTACAACATCGGATATCTAACTTGCCAGGGATTGGGTTATAGGCAGCTATGCGAAAAGCTCAAAAATTAGTTCAACCATTTTGGTCACAGGGTTGCCACGATATGCAGGTAATACAAAGTATCGTACGATGTAATATCCATATTAATTCTATCGTCAATTTTGTAATATATCGTTATAGTTGTTCATGTTGTTCAACATTATTTTTTCCTGACAAAATATGGACAAAAAAACTGAACAAAAATGTAAATAGCTATTATCCAATACATTGGGTGTGGGCGGTTACAATATCGTGGCAGATATGCGACATTGTACTGTACTTAAATCAATTTAATATCTTCATAAAGCAACAAAGATGAGAGATGTAACTGCAAGCAATTTAATACTGCTTATATTTTCACTATATTGTAATTTTCCCACTTGCATGCAAATATTACATCAACATTTACAGCGGGACTTTAAATATACACTACAAGATAGAGCATATAGTTCCTACCCTTAATCGAGAGGCTGTATGCCTTTTTACGTGTTAAACATTTATCTTAACACAACTGAGCAACATTTAGTACGTGTTTTTTGTTGTTGTTGCAGATTTTGTAATATGTAAGTAGGTTTTCGTATTTGTACCATATTGCTCTCCGTTGTGTGTTCGAGTTGGACCACACTTTTGGCATGATGTTCAAGAAGAAGCTTCCAACAACCCAAGAACACATCAGAGTGATACATTTGCTGAAACTGTGACATTCACATGTGTGTTTTGTTTCACCACATGACAGTGTTTCAGATGGCACTACCAGAGCACGATGGCCTGCATTGTTAACTCCGAAATTGTTGTAACAATATGGACTTCGAGACATACAGTGGGTTGTGATGCAATATGAATTACAGTATTCACACTGATATGAGATAGGAAATAGTAGAAGATGCCTTTATATAACTTCTATATAGCCATAACATTTTGAGCACTTGTTCTCATCTCCAACTTTAATATCTTAATTAACATGTGCCACTTAACAGATCAAGATCACCAAGTATTCTGCTAATACAACTACATTAAATAAGATTTTAGGCTTCCAAACTTTATAGACTGCAATAAAGTTGAAAAATAACCATGAATTTTTTCGATCTGAAGCTTTCGTGACTGCAGGGATTCATCTTCTTGGTTCTTTCGGTAAAGTCACGTAGAAGGGAAATAATAAAATAAAAAAAATTAAACATTCTTTTATTGTTTTATTTTTATTATTTTATTATTCCCCTTCTACGTGACTTATTATTTCCCTTCTATGTGACTTTACCGAAAGAACCAAGAAAATAACCATGAGTTTTTCTGCTGAGGTTTTATTTAATGTTTACTGTATTTCAAAAACCTTACAACAGTCAATCGTTGTGATGAGATGTGGCTGAAATCTACATCACGGATCTGATTACACAGACATGATCATCAACATACATTAAACTAAGGTTTCTTCTACTCAACCATTGAATTTATACAAATAATTGTAGTTGTGCTTTTTAATTGTGACTCGTATTGCATTTCATAATGGCTAGTTGGAGTACAGAGAAAGGAAAATACATCTACAGATATTTCAGAAAGATGATTCTTGTCCTCCGGTTGCCTTCAGAAATCCTCACCTTTAAGGAAGACACACGACTTGTTAATATGGAAATACATGTGTACAGTTTAAAAGTATATTTTAAACAACAACATTTCAGTTATTACTGTACAGTAAGGTGTGCTAATAAACTTACTACTATATTTCCATAATTATTATTACAATGAGTATTTTAAACTATGAGTGGTCATAACTTATACTACATATATCATTTAAAAATATATAGTAAAAATGTTACCTTACCATCTGTCGATCCGTTTTTATTTCCCGATTTAACCATTTCCGGGGGCATTTTGATAGACATTTTTGGGGGCCTTGGTTGAATTCTTATCCAAGGATCCCACTTTTTTCATAATGACATCCACCTTGGAGAACATGGTGCTGATTGACTGCTCGAGGTTATCGACATTTTGCATCAGTCTGTAGAGCAAGTGGCACAAACACATTTGTCATTTATATGCTATTCATGTGATGTAGTAGTGGGGTATAGAAACTATCCATCATCTTGCATGCTACCTGTTTACATGCATGCAAAGTATATTGGCAATCCCATTTGTATTATTTATTCATTGAAATATCATTGCAGCTAAATAAACGCTATTTGAAAGATTGTTCTTCACCTTTTATAAACAGTATATAAAGTACTATGGTATGAAACAGCAGTGGTTAACGTACTACATTATAAATCCGCTATTACAAACATAAGTGGAAATCATAAATGAACCGCTATTGGGTCCCCGCAGTTCATGAACCCAAGCTGACCAGTGTGGTGAAGTATGGTCAAACAACTCCCACAACCAACATGGCATTGACATGTTTTCCTTACAATAAATAATGAATGCTTGCTAATTGCCATCGTAATATAAACATTCCAGCATTGAGCATTTGTGACTGTACAGTCCCAATAAGACAGAAACCGGTCTACAATGGTGTTCTGTCTTCTCTCTCAGTCATTTAAACATTTTTTATGGCGATTTAAGACAAGAGAACCACAATGCAGTTGTTAAGGAACTGCTGATGGCTTCTGGGTTATACACAAATGCGGAGTGCATTTCGTAACACAATTAAGTTTGTCATGCAGCTCGACAGCATTTGTTGTGATTAATTTCCATTGGCTGTTGTAATTACTATGTATTCAGCATATCTTAGATGGTTAATTTCTCCACTTCAGTTGTTTATGCATTTAGCGCTACAGTCTAAGTTTCTGAAAATTTAAATTTACTTTAAATAAACGTTGGTGTATATCCCCCTTCGTCACACGGCGTCACAAAAAGTCAGACCCCCCTCAAATATGACGTCACAAAGCTCTGCCCCCCCCCCCAAATATTAAACATGCTTCAAATGGCTTTAAACTATTGTCATTGTAGTGCTTATTAAATGTGGCGCTGCACTCTGATGTTGTAGGAGAAAACATTTATTAAAAAGTCTATTTAATTAAGTAGAACGTGTTGTCTATATTTATTTAAAGTTGCGCATTTTTAAGTGGCGTCACATTTCTCAACCCCCCCCCCCCTCGTCACACATCGTCAAAAATGTCTGACCCCCCCCCCCCCCGCCATAGGTGCGTGACGTCATTTATGGACGGTCCCTTATGTAACCTTAGTCTAGTGAACATTCACCAGCCAACATCTGTTGTAAAAACACATTCCAACTTGAAACGAATAAAACAATGTTGATTGTCTTCCCTCACCTGACACAACTTAATTTATTAACATACCTCCAGGCTATTTATATCCCATCCCCAAATTATTATAATCATGCTTTAGTCATCAGCTTCGTTTATTCTTCACACGGATTCTATTTTTGCCACACCTGCCCATTATCCCTAATACTCACACTAACCGCTTACTATGTTGACACTACATTATTGTACACGATCCATCCTTGTAAAACATTTTTTTAAATCAGGAGCAGAAATGTTTAGGAAATGTATCCACGTAAATCAATTGAATTTTGTAATAACGTCTCATTCCATTCAAAAAGTGAGAATACTGATGTAAAATATTCAATTGTATCGCACATATCATGGCCGTTGGTGATTATTCATCATCCTTCAAGACCTACAGATATAAACTCTTTTAGATTTCATAAACAACGAAGAAAATGCTAACAAATCCGGGGTGCGCACCTTCTGGGGTGGGAGGTGGGGGGGCATTTTTGTAGTTGTAAGTATAGTCCAGACCATAATTATGCCAACTATCTACACCCTAGAACACCATTACAATGTTCATGAGTTACGCAATCCCACACTCACGATTGGTTACGTCTCTAAGATCACCTAGCATGGGCAGTGAAGACAATGATTGTGCGTACCCTTTGAACTCTTGCGAAGACACATCGACGCTGTCTTTATCCTCGTCTGTCATGTCCACCTGTTTGTTTGCCTGCAACACAAAACCAGGTGTTAAGTTACAGCAATGGAGGATTGCGTGCAAATTGAAAAACACGTGGACAAGAGTGATGCGGTCTACAATACATATCAAATGTTGCACATCCTTCAACCAAGCTTCGTTTGATGCCACGTAGTTGCTGCTGGCAATAGTGTACGAAAGTTGAGAGTAACAGAGTAAACACAAAGCACGTATGAATGAGGATCATTGTACTGTATTACTGCCAATAATTTTGTTTTGGAGCAGGTGCAAAAAGAGGTTAGAGGTACCTTTTGGTTTTTAAGTTCGTCTTTCATGAGTTTCATCTCATTTGAGTCCAGCACCGAGTTCTTGTCTTTATCGAACTTGGCAAAAGCTGCCTCGATCTCTTCGTCACTGTGTCCCAGGCTGCTCGTGAAGGAGAGAACAAAAGAGAGCCAACACCAAAACATTCTAGATTTGAAGCTTTCGTGACTGCAAGGATTCATACTCTTAGTTTTTTCGGTAAAGTCACGTAGGTAAAAAAAGATGAAATAAAAATTAATAAAAATAAAATAATAAAAATCACGACGTTTCGGAGGCAACACAAGTCTCCGTCATCAGGTGGGACCGTCACAGCCAGATTTGCTGTACCTTGATACAGCTGTTGCCTCCGAAACGTCGTGATTTTCATTATTTTATTTTTATTAATTTTAATTTCATTTTTTTTACCTACGTAACTTTACCGAAAAAACGAAGAGTACCAAAACAAGCCTTTGCTTTGATGAACAACCATCCCGTCGTGATCGTTTCATCGCTCGATGTCCCCGCGGTCGAGGCTACACACACTTGGGGTGACGGCGCCTTTCCAATTGCGGTTCCTAAACCCTGGAACTCATTGCCCTTCGAGGTCACGACTTGTGAGACACTGCACATCTTCAAGTCTCCACTAAAAACATGGCCCTTTCTCTTTCGTTATTGTCCATGCATTGCGCCCTGAGGTTGATTGTTTAAGGGCGTTTTATACATTGAAATGATTATTAAACTGATGACGAATGTAATACGTTCCTTAATTGATGAATAAAACGTGTAACAGAAGTACTGCGCATATATAGTATCAATGTAATACACATGTCAAGGTTCATCCATTGCATTATTAATTTGTATTCTTACGTTCACAATGAACGCATCAATGTGTGCACATGAAAATAATTTCCAATGTATAATATATTTCGATTTAAAGCTTTTGTAATTGCAGGGATTCATATTCTTGGTTCTTTCGGTAAAGTCACATAGAAGGGAAATAATAAAATAAATAAAATTAAAACAATAAAATTCTCACGACGTTTCGATTGCAACACAATGCAATCATCATCACGTGTGAACATTTTCTTGCAGTGTTTTTCACACTTGATGATGATTGCTTATGTTGCAGTCGAAACGTCGTGAGAATTTAATTGTTTTATTTGTATTATTTTATTATTTCCCTTCTACGTGACTTTACCGAAAGAACCAAGAATATGTATGATATAAGTAAATTATATGCTCACGTCACATTTAGGCTAATGGAAAAAAACAAGCATCTGCTTAGAAAATAAATACCAAAAATATCCAAAAACTAAAGTAAAACGAGACCTAACAGAATGAGTTTATGACCCCTAATGTTGATAATTAATGGAATTGCTGTGTGGGTGAATTGATACATGCCTGTAATATATGCACATTAATGTATTAGTATAGCGTGGGGATTAGTATAACGTGGGGATGCCCGAGTTATTGTAGAAGTGACGCAATTGGTAATTAATGTCTGCATAATTAACAATATACTATATTCAAATTAACCGGTTTGGCTCATTTGCAATGTGAGACTAGACGCTATTTGATCCACAGTGTAACATCACGTGGGTCACCACAGACGGTGCGGCAAGTGCAAACTGACCGTTTCAGCTTTTGTCTCCAGTCGCCGTAATTGATCTTTTGGCTGGAGGCATCCAGCACGCTTATCATGTCCACGATGTTTCCACGATTTTTGCCCAGCTTCATCCGTATGTCAAGGAAGACCTGCAACATGGCATTACCCGCTCATTTTATGTGCTGTCGGGTTGACAACGTTAAAGCCTGGCATCCACTTACCATCTCACGAAGTTGTCCAAATAACAAATACATTTTAACTATAATAATCCTCTGCTGAATAATGGGCTCGACGTGCCTTTCATTCCGTGGGGTTTTGCCATATCACACCACACACTGGTCAGTGTGGTTTGGTGAGACTAGAGCTGACTACCCACTGATGGTAGTTAATTGTGGCCAGGAATCAAACTGAAGTTGTCAGGTTGATGTTACAGAGCACTAACCCACGACCGCCACTGTTTCACCCCTTACCAATTATACAGCATGTTTATTTCTAAGTTGTAATTTTTTTTACATATTTTATTTTTATGAGTGTAAAAAATAATTTCAACATTTCATTCAATCAAAATGATATCACATAAATATAACATCAGCGTCTACTAGTCAAATAACACTTGTAGCCCTATGGGTTGAAGTCCCAAGATTCTAAAAGTGAAGTTAAATGTGAAACTTTTGTGCATGTAGCTTAATTGCATTCTAAAAATATTTCTCAACATCCCATAACAAAAACAACTCGATTGCTATTTGTTTAATGTTGGCTTTCGCGGCCATTAAAACAACTCACGTAATTAACATCTCGTAAATATAATAAAAGTTATTAAGCTGAACCCTAATGATATTCTCGTCAGTTTTGATGTGACTTCTCTGTTCACAAGTCAATTAAATTACTCGATACTCTGGTATTAACACAGGTTTAGCCAAATATATCCCACGACTAGCTGAACACTATCTAAAGAACAGCTATTTCTTGTGGAAAGGTGATTTATATAAACAAAAAGAAGGAGCAGCAATGGGCTCTCCTTTGTCTCCTGTGATTGCGAATTTGTACGTGGAAGATTTTGAAGCAAAAAACCTCAGGAACATTTAAACCCTTTGCTTGGTTTAGATATATGGATGACACGCTGATGGTCTGGCCACACGGCAAAGATACACTTAACGAATTGCTAAATCATCTCAACTCGCAAAACCCATCCATCCAGTTCACTATGGAAGTAGAAGCTGACAGAACACTACCATTTCTGGATATTCTGCTCAGACGAAAGAAAATGCACATTGACGCCTATCTGAATGCAGTCACACCATCACCCCGCACATACATCCTCTCATCAAGACGCTCATACGTGAGGCTAAGAAAGTGTCAGAACGTGATAGTCTGAGCAGTAAAATTAAACACGCTAAAGCAGCGCTGCAATTGAACGGTTACAATGCACAAATGAACAAGGTACTGAATGCCAAAACCAAATCAAATAACACGACAGTTGACACTGACCAGAAAATTAAAACGATTAAAATACCGTACTTTGCGGGCGTAATTGATAAACTAGCCAGATTTTTGGAAAAACAAAACATCTGAGTCAGATTTGGTACGGTGGATAAAATACAGAAACTAATATCTGGTACTAAAGATGCATTACCGAAATTATCAACAAGTGTGTACCGGATTAATTGCACTTGTGGAAAATACTATGTTTGGCAGACAACAAGGATACTCAATTGATTTTGATAATGTTGAAGATCTGTGCAAAACTAGTTACTACTGGCCAAAACGAATTAGATATTGTATCGTAATTTATAAAAAAAAATGTTTTAACCGTTTGAATAGCTACAGGTTTGGTGCTGCTTGGAAGCGAGTCATCAAATAATACATTGTTTAAATGCATGCCTATACATGTCACCATACATCAACGGGAATTACGTACGTGTACGCAGATAATAGCAGGTACTGCTATTTTATTGCACGCAAGAAAAAATGTGCATGCACAATGTTCGTTGTTTACCATATTAATAACCCAACCGGCAATGGATACCCATTGTAATGTATATGCATTCATTAATCTCACCCCCTCGCACGTGAAGGGCTCACAAGTGACATCATCACAGCTATCCCTAGAAGGAATGAAACAGGAGGATTTCTCCACAAATCTGGCTGCCGCCTGATGAAGCTAGTTGTAATTACTGGCGAAACGTCGTACTCAGATTGTAAATGTTGTGGCTTGGCTCTCCAACACACCAGTGTCCTGTACTAGTGACGAATTGGCATGTTCTGTTGACGTGACAACCTTACTAATTGGCTATGTCTGGTGGTGGCGGGTTTAACGACACATTTATATTTACATGATCTAACCCAAAAAAACGTATATTATTGATAATTTGTTTATATTTTGAAACAATTGCACATTACTGAGTCATTGGAATAAACCTTTAGAACTGAGCACTGTACAGCACAGTTGCGAAAACCTATGCAGTGGTATTACCTCCTTTGGAATTGTTGGGACTTTCCATCAATTCGGCGATAAGTTTCACCATTTAGCTGCAACTGAAGAATGTTAAACCCAGTCCACACTGAAACTTAATTCGTGTTGCCCCACGTTTCGGAAACACTCACCTTCTTAAAGTAGCCACCCACGTCAAACTCATTCTCCTTCTTCGCAAGTTCATTCTTCACCTCTGCATAGGTGTCATTGATGATGGCCAGAAACATGTTCTTTGGTTACAAAAAAGAAACATATTTAGTCACATGGTCAGATATTAACTTACGTTTTAGCACTATATTTATCCTCCGCTAGATTAACGCCTACCCGCTATGTGTCACTCAAGGGGGTTGTTTGACCATACCGCAACACACTGGGCAGTTCTGATTGTTGAAGGGGTTGTGGCAGAGCCAGGACAGGTTCAGATATCACTTGCCAACGATATCAACCATGGCTGAGAACTGAGCTCAGGTTTGCTGGGTTCACTGCGCAGTGCACAGACTATTATATTGCACCACCTCTCTAATGTGTGTTGGGGTTGCACCGTGTGTATAACATCCAACATTATGCTCCTCTTGCTGGCAGCTTCTTCAGGAAGTTTACAATTAAATTCCCGAAGAAGCTCCTGGCACGCGCAGAATAACGTTGGACATCATGCTGAACAATACGCAGCACAACCCATAGACACATCGGAGAGCTGTACAGCACAACTACGAAAACCTAAACAGCACTGCGCCTTCGTTCCCCATACATAACTGCTCACGTATCAAGTCCTAAAACTTCACAGAGCATGCACAAATCACATTTAGAAATTGGTTATAGCACTTACCAGGAGCACGAAAAAGACGACAAACACATAGGTGGTGAAGTAGAGCGGGCCCAGCACTCGATTGGCATTTTCAATGGCGTTAAAATCAAAGTCACCCAGGATGATGCGGAACTGTGTGAAACTGTGAAAGCACCAGTAAACTGTGTAAATAAAAACAGCATATGCCTATCTGCATGTCTCTCTATGCTGATAATTATGTCATCGTCATCATCACTCATGATATTCATCATTCCCACCACAGTCACAATGAGCATCACCACTGTAATATAATAATCATTTCCTACCACCATCACTGTAATCACCACAAAACATGATTTTCACCACCATCAGCAGTATCAGTGACATAATCATCATAATCATTACCACCACTCGCATCGCTGTAATCACCACCATCATTATCACCAATATTTGCACCACTATCATGAAGGGAAGTATCATCTTTCTCATAATGCTAATGTATCACAATTCACCATCTCCTCCGCCGCATTGGCCCTCCCTCTCAAACGCCACCACAAAAAGGTGAATGTAACCCTCGTTCGAGTGCAGTCTCCACTAGCTCAGTCTCGGCTGACTATGAGCCGGAGAGAATGTGTTCACGTAAGACGCACATGCAGTTGCTGAATGTGCTGAAGTCCTCCACTTGAGTGCCGAAGAGAAGGTAGCCGAGCTGCGCATAGGCGAAGAAGATGATGAAGAACATGATGGCAAAGCCCAGCACGTCCTTGGCGCAGCGAGCCAGCGTGGAGGAGAGCTGCGTCATCGTCTTGTTGAAGCTCACGTACTTGAAAAACTAAAAAGAGCACACACAATGTAATAATGCTCGACATGTTGAAATGTCAAGTTTTTTAAAGAGCAATTCTATTACAGTGGGGTTTTTGTACAATTATTAGTAATTGCACGGAGACGACAAGACCTCCAACGTGTCATGCCATATCTGAGAACAGTTTTACCCCTGAGATTGTTATCCCAATTTATATCTGTCACACACAGGCCATACTGAGCCACCCAGACACCTCCCAAGTCGTTAATATTAGGTTTACTTTTAATCTCAAAATGTCACCTTGATCCAGCAGAAGAAAACATTGACTGCCACCATGTTGTTGTACTGCGTCTGCCAAAATGCCAGGAACTGAAAGTTGCCGTATCGATTGGGTTCATCCAGCAGCGCCTTGAGCAGCTTGTTCACAGTCACCGTGCGGTACACATTGAAGATGATGGCCACCACCGACAGCTGTGAAACAAAATAACAAGAAAAAGCGATTCACCAATAGCCCTAGTTAAATGTATCACATTTCACGTTTTGGTGACAATTATTTTCGCCTAATCTATTTTGTTTAACCTGTATTCACACAACATGTGACTTTTATTGCCAGTATCAAGTATCAGAATAGGTTTGAGCCTTTCTGGCAATAAAACCAAACAAAAACCTTTCGTAAGGAATCATGTCTGCATTAACCACACATACTTGTAGTGAACACGCAAACAAAACATGCTCTGGTAATAAATGCATTGTCTTTGAAACTGATTGGTTTATACCAGAGGCTGCCTTCTTTAGGGCCTAGTCTCAACCAGTGTTAGACCAGAGAATGCCAAAAGGCGAACAGCTGTTTGCATGTTTCAACACAAGTAGTTTTGGTCTATGCAGACTGGACTCCTTGCAAAAGGTTTTTGTTTGGTGTTTGAACATCTTAACGCCTGTTTTATTGCCAGAAAGGGTAACATCTATTCTTATACTGTATTTACACATTGAATATATTTGGACCGCCAATTTGTTCATAGCATTTATTCATCTTAACAGTGTTAGCATTTTTCGTACTTTTAGTAATGGCAGTAAATAATCAGTACATGTGGAATGACATTGCTGAATGTCAACATACTGGGTGCAGTGCCGGCCCTAGAGGGGCACGGCATGCGATGTAGCGACATCGCGGATACCACAGAGGTCTGGGTGTAGTACCGGTCCTAGAGGAGCCCGGTGAGCGCTGAATGATAGCGCTGGATGGCACCACACTTTGCGTGCAGTGCCGACCCTACAGGACAGGGTGTGCAGGTGCCAGCCGAGGGATGAGGTTACTCGAAGCCATGGCACTCTGGTTGACCCAGGAGGACACGTGACCAGTTAAGTCTACAAAGGGGCCCCAAGTGGGGGCTCGGGGTGGTCACGTGATTGGGACCCAGATCCTTCCCGAGGCTTCTGGAAGGTGGACGTGGCCAAGGGCGGAGCCGGCCACGCCACAGAGAATACAAGCCGGGTCCCGAGAGGGACCGGGTTTGTTGTTGTTCATCCTGGAAGAAACCTTCGTCTACGTTCTCTATTCAACGAGTCTCCAACACGTGGACCCGGACCGAAGCTGTTGATCCCGGTCCATAATAGCAGTTACGTTGTAGCTAATTACATTGTAATTAGCGTAGTTAGCCTGGTGGTCAACACCATAGGTTGTTATTCTGTTAATGGGAATGTTACCCCGTGTGTTGGAGTTGAATAAATGTCTACATCTGCGACTTGGTTGAACCCATTACATATGTGCAATTCAATGCTAGGACATCCAATTATATAAATAATCAATTACTCTACAGAATATCGGTTCCATTACTCAACTGGTCAGTTAACATAAGTGCAGTTGAGCAAAAAAAAATATCACTTCTGTTCCCACATGTGCCAGTGGATGGGAGGTGATGGGCAGGCTTAGTGATGTCATAGGTATCATTAGTCACATCATGCTGGGCATGGCTTATCAGGCAGGGGTTGCCTGCCTTCAAGAGGTAGAATGTCAGGGCGGCTGCCATTTTATTAAGGGGCCAGAGTAATTGACTACAAAACAAGTAGTCAATTACAATTTTTGGTCGATGAATCACCTTAACTAGTCGTGTCATCTCTACTTGTCTATTTTTAATGTGTCCTCCGCGCAGACCACACCCTACCATGATGACCAGGAGGTCCAGGCAGTTCCAAACCGACTTGAAGTAGGCAAACTTGTGGATGCTCAGCTCGAGGATCTCCTCCACGATGTAGTAGAGGATGAAACAGCAAAAGATGGCCTCGCAGGCCAGGATAAAGTAGTCGGAGCCGGTGACATAGCGGATGAGCTTCACGGTGTAAATCTGTGAGGATGGCACGGCCCCTCCTGTGGGAGGGAACTCCACGAGCAGCCTGCCCATAAACAAGACAACCACAGCCCTCCATCAGATGCCGCAGTGGTGAAATGTTAACTCCCTCGCCGGGTATGCAGGAGGTGGTGGGTTCCATCCCCATGAAGATAAAGGCATTTCTAACAATTAGTTAAAGTATGATAATTGGTTCTTTACCCTTCTATCTGGCAACAAAACTGACACCTTTTTGTAAGGAGTCATGTTTGCAGAGACCGCAATACCTGCAGTCATAAATACAAACAAAAGACATAACTCTGATAATGTGCACTGTCCTTGAAGTTGATTGGTCCACACCCGAGACAGCTTTCCTTCGAGCCTAGTCTCATATGGGTTGGACCAGATGACGCCTTTTGGACCAGATGACGCCTTTTGGCGTCATCTGGTCCAACCCATATGAGACTAGGCTCGAAGGAAAGCTGTCTCGGGTGTGGACCAATCAACTTCAAGGACAGTGCACATTATCAGAGTTATGTCTTTTGTTTGTATTTATGACTGCAGGTATTGCGGTCTCTGCAAACATGACTCCTTACAAAAAGGTGTCAGTTTTGTTGCCAGATAGAAGGGTAAAGAACCAATTATCATATTTTTACTGGCAAATGAGGTCCCCATAGTGTAGTTAAAGTATATTTAGTTAATTCGGTAGCATTATCCATGCAGTGGTATAATAATATGCAATGGAAAGCTTAGTTCAGTGTTACTGCTGGATCACATTCACAATTGTTTTCGTCTGACATTCAAATTCTGTCAAAATCACCATGAAAATCGCATCAGGTATTGGAAGCTAAGCAGCGTTCAGCCGAGTTTGAACCTGGATACATCACCCCCCTCTAATGTGTGGGTTTTCTCTAGGTACCGTGGTTTCCTCACGCATGGAACTCATTGATTGAATTGGTCTAACACCCTAATGGAGGAGACTTGGTTAAACTTTCCTGGGTAAATAATTATGTTATTATATGACTGTGTTAATTTAGAAATTGTGTGTTTATATAAAGTATACACTCAATCAAAGTCAAGCACTATCTTTATCTAAAGAACGAATTCAACAGCCATAAAAATAAATGTGCAAGTCAGAAACAAATTGGAGCATATGCACATGGGTATCTTCAACAGCAACAAATAAATAGAAATCCCAGGATGCTTTGCATGTATGACACAATTATTCTGCATATTCTTTGGTTATTTCGGTAAAGTCACGTAGATAGAAAAATGATAATAAAAATAAAGTGAAAAAAACATACAAATAAAATACAAATAATAAAAAACAAAAAACACTCATGTAGACTGTAGCCTGGTTCTTAATCGGAGTGAGTATACTGGCAGTCTATAAGTGTACTGGCAGTCTACATTATGGACTGCCAGTGCACTCACTCCAGTTAAGATACAGGCTACAGTCTACATTAGTGCTTATTTATTTAATATAATTTTATTTTTATTCACTTTATTTTCATGATTATTTTTCTATCTACGTGACTTCACCGAAAGAACAAAAGAATATTAATTCCTGCAGTGACGAAAGTTTTAAGTCAAAATGTAATTATTCTGTAGCTTACAAATTCTGCCCATTGCAGGGAGACGATTGATCAACACAAGCCCCTCAGGTACAAATGGCAGCACTAGGCAGCAATGACGATACTGTCCTGATGAGTCACAAGAAAGGTGAAAATTGTATGCAGTTGCTTTTGTTATTTTTCTGTTACTTAAATTAACAAAAAATTCCATAATCTCAGCTCTTTTGAGATGATGGCTATCACAAGGCCATGTGCAGAATATCCGAAGGAATGGTGATTGATGTTATATTTTTCTGTGTATTCAATATATTTAATTGAAGACAGTATGCGTATGTTACCTGATGACTGAGAAGAGGTTGATGTTACCGTTGTAAGAGGAGAAGTCAATTAATATGGCACGGGTGCCTCGGTCCAGCCACTATTTAAAAAATAACAAATCATCAGACAAGTTTACTGAAATAAAACTCATGGGACAACAAATGCAGAATTCGCAGCATTAACATCAGTGTGCAGACCAAAAACACATCATTAAACAGCCCACACAACATTAAATAGGTGTAAACATGTATATCTGTAAAACATCACATCCCTGCACTCTGAATAAAAATGTATGTACCTATGCAAAATTGTACTTTATGGATTCTGAGACGTTAAATGTGGAAAGAACCAACTGTATTTTCCCAAGCTTGTGATACAAGCACATGCAAAATGATGAAATAGAGAAGTGAACAAGGGCGGAATGGGGTGCTTTTGAAAAACTTTATTTGATCATGAAATGAGAGTATCCCCGAGATGATGACAGCCACGGAGATGAAGCGATGGGGTCAGCTCGCGCAGGCTCAAGATGGATTGTGGCAATGCAGAGCTTTGTTGGTGTACAATGGTGTGGGGAAGCCTTCACCCAGCAATGGAGAGAACATGGCTGATTATTAGTCTAACACGTAGGCTTTCGCGACCAATATTATTCATAATGAAGGTTTTTGGATTAGATCGCGTAAGTATAAATGTGTCGTAACCCTCCGCCACCCGACACAGCCAGTAAGGTTTGTCACGTAAACAACGCGCCGATCAGTTACTACTTCAGCCCACCGGTGTGTTGAAGAGTACAATTTTTACATTTTGTGAATTTACTCTCGAAAACACTGGTGGGCTGATGTAGTAACTAATTGGCGAATTGTTTACACGACAAACCTTACCGGCTGTGTCGGGTGGTGGAGGGTTACGACACATTTATACTTACGCGATCTAACCCAAACAACTTTAAATTTCGATTTAAAGCTTTCGTGACTTCTTGGTTCTTTCGGTAAAGTCACGTAAAAGGGAAATAATAAAATAATAAAAATAAAGAGAACTAGAATTATTATATTATTTTATTATATGATATTATTTTATTATGTTTCATTTTTATTATTTTATTACTTCCCTTCTACGTGACTTTACCGAAAGAACCAAGAAGACCAAACAACTTTATTATGAATGGCTGATAATGATAAGCGTTTTACATTCCATGAAGTAAAACGGTTACTCCACTCTATCTAAAACAGCCTATGAATGCATAAATATCTTTGTCAGAAGTAGTCTGGATGAACGGCACTAGACCTGTTTGTCGAAGAGGTCCTGCAAGATGGTGGCACTCTCAGATTTGCTCCGGGTCAGGTCCAGGTAGTAACCTCCGCCGCTGTAGGTCGCCAGCAGCCCCCAGTGCGAGGAGCCATTCATCTCCGAGCTGGTAGAGTACTTCCACCTGCCATGCAAGATACAGCACTCGTGATGTGACCACGTCTAGCCTGGCATTGGCTTTCCACACTCTGCGAGCCACCACGTTCGTACCAATGCACCGTGGCTGAAAGCATCAACATGCATTTCACGTCATCAAATGGCACAGACTGATTTAAATAAGTCTCATGGGGAATAAAAACCTGAATAAAATGGGCAATATTTTATAATTTGTATATTTATATTTAAATTTGGTCTTGAATTATAACAACACTGTTATCCTTGCAGCTGGGGCATTGCTTATTAGGGCAGCAGAATCCCGATCGTGAGTTAGTGAGTTCAAATCATCCCTTTCATTCCTCTGGGATCTGAAAGTTAAGTGCGGTAGCCCTGTGGAGGCAGAGACACACAATTTCAACCACTCGTTCAAGATCATCATTCGGAGTAGACAACTTTGTTCGAGCAATCCACAAGAATAAATGTTCGTTCTTCCTTCCTCACGTGTCCGCAAAACAGTTTTGCCGAACCCACTCGGTCACATTGCTAAAAGCTGCGGTCGCAGGGCTCCACTCACGGGGTGCCGGTGGCCGGGCCGAAGGAGGCCTTGTCCTCGGCGTCCTCGGAGTAGGCGGCGTAGCAGCCCTGCACGTCCTTCTGGAAGTCGGCGTGCACCGTGCACGAATCGTTGCGCACCTTGAGCTGGCGCATGCGCGGGACGCCCAGCAGGAAGTTCTCGTAGTAGATGAACGACTGATTTTCCACGAGCGGCACGTCGTTGTACCACTTATCCCAGTAGAGGCCGTTGAGGACTGGGCCCTGTACCACCTGAGGCAGTAGAAGTTGACATATAAAGGACAGCAATGACTGGTACTGCACATAATGATTGCTTTGCTCATATTTATCTTTAGCACTGCCTTTTAGAGGTGTCTTTGTTAGGTCCTTCAATAATTTTCCTGTAATTCGTTACCATCGGTTGTCAGAAGTAATATGTTTGCAGATAATATGAGATGGTTACATATTTCAATATCTGTGCTAATGTCTTTATTTTTCAAAGCTAAGTTTGATTTCAAAAAAAATATCTTCTGGTGTAATTTTGTAAAAGACTACAGTATACAGACCAAAAATAGATTTGGATCAATAAAAACTGGATCATTCATTCGATATTTTATAAACCAAGGCTTTAATTTACAAAAATGTAGAGAGAAAGTATGAAAACATGTATTGAAATTGGAACAGCTACAATAAAACTGGATAAAAGAGTACACACAGTCCAAATCATAAGGGGATATAGACAATTCCATATGCTCTCACCTGATGCACATGGTGTCATGAGATATACATGGAACAGTCAAAAATACTTTGAGCATAAGATATTGTACTTAAAATACACATGATCACTATTTTTTAATAACAGGTGTGTTAAGAAGCCTCAGTATGTCTGAATGACGTAATAAGCGTATCAATGTTTAGTGTGTACTATAATGAAGAAGAAAAAAATACATTTATTTGTAGGTGTAAATAAATGTTTAGGACTCTACCCCAGCCCACTTGTCACCACCGCTTGTTAACGTCTCGTATCCGCGCTCAGTGATACATTTTAGTGGGATCGGTCTGGAAACTATTTTGGCCACGCCACATTAAACTCACTTTATTATTTGGTCATTAGTCTGTGGTGGTGTGTGGCAATATAGGCCACAATAACATAGGGCTCTTATGGATGTACTCTCGTGGTAGTAGTGTCTTACACCTATCATGCCTACCTCAAGCCAGCCGAGCTGCATTACGGACAATATCAAGAAATTAAGCCCTGCCCATGCTACGTAAGAAATATGTTTTTTCTAAAATGCTGTAGCAATGCTATCCATATGCATTCCCACCGTCGCCAGTACCTGCCAGAAGTCATCAAAGGTGAAGATGGAATTAAAGTTGACACTGTCATTGGGTGAGACCGTGTTCTGCAGAAAAAGGTTGTCCATTGCCAGGGTGTACTTATACATGAGGTCGCTGGTCATGCCAAATGTCACTGGGGAGAGAATGGTGGTAGAGTAAATGATGCACATGGGCATGTTAACAAAACTATATGCAACAGCAAAACAAATACATTATTTAACGAGACTTTAGAGCAGCAAATCAGCTTAGCAATATGGAAAATAACAATCAGTCCCAGAACATATATTAACATATATTAATCAGTAGAGCGAATACAAGTGGATGTACTTGCCCAAGGGCTTGGAAGCATTTTAAAGTGGTTTTATTATATTAGGCAGTGATTTTGGAGTTTTGATGAATGTGTCCACTACGTTTATCTTGCACAATAAAATGATGCAGTTTGCATGCTTGTGAAAAATTCCACTTTCAATATTTATGAATTCTACAAGTATTCAATTTAGATCTAAATGCTGCCTTTGATCAAATAAACTGAAAAAATAAAAATCTCTCATCTAATGCAGAATTCATGGTGCATAATATCAGTATAAAATGTGTGTTGCTTAGCATGTATTAATCTTGAAAATGTATTTACACCCAAATTAGCTCTACATGTCATCCGAAGTTTGGCTTATTTTTTTGTATTTAACTATCGCCAGTTACGTTTTCCGCAGAATTAACCTTTTTGTCTTGTTTGATTAAACACGTTTAAGATATTTATGGACCTGTTGAATGAATATTAAAATATAAAACGCTGGTACCTAAGCACCCTAGTAATACAAACACAACATTTAAATTTGTTATTAAAGCTATGGCAGATATTTTGTAATTCCTTTAAATTACTGTAGATAACTGCAATATATATAAAAATGTGTTTGTTGATGTGTTCCCCAAGGCACCTGACCCTACATATGCAAACGAATTTAATTTTTGAGCTAAAAGGTCATGTTTTGTGACATTAAAACAAAGCACTGCTGGTAATAAAATAGCAGCGCCAATGTATAAAAACTCTACCATTATGTTTGTGAATCATTTAGGTAGGTCTGTGTTTTGTGATAATATGCCACAGGACATTGCAACCAAAGATAAGGTTCAACACGTCAACAAGCAGTGACATATCTGCTATAATGGAACAATGTGCAATATTTGACTGGGCTCTGTGCAAGCCCTGTTGCTGGGATCAGATAACTGCTCATTGTGTTCTGACACAGCCCATTTATGTATGTGACACCCTATCCCAAGCACACACATTTCAACCTTACGTTTAGTTTGTGAACAAAGAGAAAACAAGTATAGGTTCTATTTATTGCTCAGACAATAGCCGTAGCCATGGGCACACTTGCCGTACATGCTCTTGTGGTCCTACTGTATGATTTAAATAGTGCCCCTGGTTTAGGGTTCAGGAATCGAGTCATGCTCGGTGGCGTAACATTCACAATTCACCGAGGGCTTGACAGAGTGGGGATTAGACCAAAGTTATATATCCCAACAGTTTGTTGATCTTAATTAAAGATGTAAACTGTTGCATGTACTATAAACAACACGATTTGCTTCCTCATTTCCCCGGTCATCTTAAAACAATCCACACGCATCTAGTCCAATCCTTGAACATGTTTATGTTATTTTAAAAGGTTAAGTAATCTACTTTCATTCGTTATTACCTACGAATGGCTAAGGGCCTTCATTTTAGCATGTGAAGCTACCTCTTCAAATTTGCGATAGCTCATTAATTATGACCCCAGAATAATTGTGCTTGATGTCAAGTGGCTCTCTTGCACCTATTGATCTGTGTTAGAACATAAGCATCGGGTCTGGACTTACGGATGATGAGGTTAATTAGGAAGGCGATGTAGACAAAAAGCTCGCGCAAAGTCGTCTTCACATACTTGTCACGGTCGGTGATGTCCTCCGTCAGCCTGGTCCCCCATAGCCCTGCCACAGAAACACTCAAATCAACAACGCCAGGGGCTGTACTACTGGCAGTGAATATTTCACAGTGGTTAGCAGTCAGATGACAGAGAGAAACCCATGCGGTTCGCCACATCCCCACACTTCACCATGGACCAAAGCAGGTCCATCAGCTGTCCCACACGCATACAGGAACTGTACTGGTATTCAGGATCTCACTGACCGACCAGCATTACGTACTAAGATGGTTATTTGTCCTCTCACTTATTATCATCTCACTCGATACAGCTATCGTGCTGTGACGGTTCCACCTGAAGACGGAAGCTTGTGTTGCCTCCGAAACGTTGTGATTTTTATTTTATATTTATTTTACTTTGATTAATTTTAATTTTTCACCCACGTGACTTTACCGGAAAAAAACCTAAGAATATGGTTATTTGTGCCAATTGAAACGTGGCACGTGTAACACGGTGGCGCTCCATTGTGAGCAGCAGAGGACAGCGCAGCAAATTCCACTGTGCTGTACAGTACTCTGCTGACATGTCTATGCTCCTCCACCTTCAGCAACGCGCACTGACCTGGACGGGGTGCAGGATGGTCAATTAACCCCCACGACTGACACGGTGTGAAGAGGTCCTCATCCAGCAATTGATTGGTAAAGGGTTCTGGATTTATACTTTTTAACTTATTTATGAAATACGTAACTGTAAATATGACTAACTTAAGCACAGCAGCACACCACGCAAGCTGGCACACAAATAAGATCTCAACACGTGTCAATCATCCATAATATATATTTTTTGGATTAAATCAATGATCTATGTATTCAACACAAATGAATACGATTCGCGATACAACTGCAATACCAAAAGCAGGCTGCAGTTGAAAAAAAACGGAACAGCGCTGTGATAGTCATGATCCATTCACAATTGATCATCTCGTTCCAAATAGAGATCACGACCAAGTTAAGAAACATTTGTCCACTCACTCAACAAATGCCCCTTGCCACTACTATTATACGTCTCATCACCGCAGCGTTATAAACATCTGTGTGTATAACGTTTATAACGAACATTTACACAAAACACAATCCGATCGTTAAGCAACGGTATTGTACATAACCATCTCCCAAGAGTAATGTTTTACTCTGGGGGAAAAATAAGCATTTTAAAAACATCAATGGATCATGGCTATTTGTTTAGAACGGTTTGATAATTACATGCATATTCCTATTTTTAAAGCAAATTATATTGGGGGATGGTTGTGGGAACAAGCACACGATCAACAATAACTGCAAGTAAACGACGATTGGCAAAACACAGACGATACGATTATCGCACGATATATATCGTGGTTATCGCCCGATTATGGGGAGCGGTGGTGTAGCGGTCAGCGCTGACCGCTACGGACCCAGCAACTCGAGTTCAATTCTCGCTCACGGCCAACAAACACCGGTGACGATTATCCCAACCCTAGGTCGACTCAGCCTCAAGATGAGTACCCTGGTGCGGTGTGTAAACACCGCCACCGGGGAGACAAAGGCGGCCTGGTGTGGTGTTGGCACACCCCACCCCCTTCACAGGTTGCTACGGCACTTGACCTCGGGCTACTCGGGGGGGATCTCGTCTCGTCTCCGCGCCGATTACCCACCGCGCAAGAAGTTTTTGGGGGACTTCTTTGGCTCGTCGCTCTGTTCCTTCTCCGCCTTGTGCAGGCCACCCTCCGGGATCTCCTCGTACACTGCGCTCGCCGAGTCCAAGTAGGAACCCGGGAGCGGTTCCCCCTTGGGGTGCCCGCCCGGACCGGGAGCCCCCCTCGATTCCGCGGTGCTGTGGCTCACGAAGCGCACACTGCCACCTCCCAGCTTCCTGTCCGAGAGGGCATTGTCGATGACTGTCGATCCAAGGCGTTGGCCGCTTTCACCGTGCTGCATGGCTGGATTTCTCTCTCTCTCTCGACAACGAGTCTAATCGACCGCGAGAAAGACAAAAAAACAACAAACACAGGTACGAGAAGGTTATGCCGAAAGTGTTGTTGTTGTTGTTGGTGAGTGGTAAACTTGAGCAGATGTCATGCGTGGCATTCGCGGAGCTGTGCTCAATGCGCAAGGCGTAGACCACACACACACACGGTGAGAAGAAGAGGGAGGAGGAGGAGGAAGGAAGGAGGTGGTTGGTGGTGGTGGTGGTTGTTGTGTGCGGTGTTGCAATGATCTCTCTCGTGGTGTTGGGGGGCACCAGCTGTGGAACGCCCTCCCCGCCAGGTGCTGTTGATGGCTCCACTGGTGACGTCTCGCGAGCGAGTTCCCTGCGGCCAGTCAACCGCCCGGCCACGCGAGGTGTAGGGGAGGGGGCATCATTTTGCTCTGGTGCCCTGGCTGATATTTTGGACAGCGATTTTGGCACTGGTCCATGACGCGTGTTGCGGCGCGGTGCTTTGCGTCGAGTTGTTATTGGTGTCAACGATTGTATTGATTTGTTGTTGTTGTTGTTGATATTGATGTTGTTGTCTTATTGTGGACATTGTTACGCTTTCCACGTTGAAACTCTGATCATTACGGTCCTTTTTCCGCCTTTTTTCGGTGTTAAAACCAGCACGAATATTCACGCTTCTATGCGTGCTTTTCAGTTTTAGTTTTGTTCAATCACCTTTGTCCGTGTTTCTAGTCCCATGTATGAACAACGAATGATACAATAAATACGGACGGTGGCGTTGCGGTAGTGCGTTCGTGTCTTCTTTCCGACGCTCGTGTTTTCGGTTTCAGCGTCCGCCTCGTTGAACGCTGCGGGTGTATGAACCACAAGTTATGCCGGCGTCATGATCCTACTTTGCCAAATAAAACGAAAAATACCCGCGAAATTACATAGCAATCATCGCCCCCCTACTGCAAAAAACAAACTTGTCAGTTGCCTCCTTAAAAAGAGTCGTGAAACTCCGTGAGGCCTTCATGGGTAAACAAGCATAATCATAATGACCCTGGATATACCGTGACTAAAATCCTTCCTCGCTGCTCTTATCAAATGGAGTTAAATCACTCCATCCTGCTCTTTTTTCCCACGTGTTGTAGCGCTTGTAGCACAACCTTGGGTAAGCAAATTTGTGAGTGTGATGCTGCAAATGGAAATAATCTGAAACATGACTTTTGCCAACTTAAGTCTCACCGCCTATAACGTCAGAGTCAAACCAGACTCCAAGGTTCTTGGACACACTGCTGAAAGGAAATATATTGGCAACAATGTCCCATTTATCAAGATGAATAACCTGCAAACCACACACTGGTACCAAAGATGGATATAATTGTGTTATTTACATTACATTAAAGCCGGTGAGATGAAAGACAAGCAATAACTTTGCATATACATTCACCTGCTCAGCAGCAATTAGTAATTATATCTGAATGTTGTCAAAATATATTAAAATATTGTCTCCAGACTAGTCTGGAATATTGGAAAGTGGTATTAAATAACGATCAAACGAAACGAATTCTATTTTGCCATGTAAGGCCCCAATAACTAGTGAATAGTAAAGGGATTGTGACAGTTATATCGTTCATCAGAAGATAAGTACGAATCGTTGCGTTTAGCTTTTCCCCTATAATATACAAAACATTACAATTAGCAGTAAGATCATTTTCAAACTAACATAACACTGAACCGCACAAAAGGTGAATTTGCAGCCCTGTACTTGCTTGCTGAGGCCACTGCTGGAGGAAGGATCGCCATGAGCGGGAGCTCTAGAAAGCATCTTTAAGAGGGTATTTGGTCAATTGTCATACGTTTCATAATTTTTATAAATAATACTGAGAGTAAATGGTTGAAGATAAATGGAAACAAAATGTAAAAAAAATATTTTTTTGGGCATTATTGACCACTGTTATTCAGCAAATATTGGTTAAGCATGAAAACATCTGGACTGGTAAGATGGTTCAGCAGTCTAGCAAACGTCTCGGGTGGTTTTTGCATTTCAGCATTCGTTTGAAAATGTGTGATTTGCTTCAAAAACAATGTCCACCAGAGGTCGCCCTTGGTCTTTTCTGCTGAACATGATCTCCGACAAAAAATAACGTAGGCTTCCTTCTTAAATATACACATATGTCAGCTAAAGCATAATGCTTTATCTTGTCCGGTAATTACCTTTTCAGAGTAATTGTTTATAACCTTCTGGCCATGATTGTTGGTAAAATTGTGCCAACGTGTCGCAGTGTAATTACCAATTTTATACGGATATTACATTATATGCATTAATTTCCCAGTCGTCATAACTAAGCAATGCAATACAAAGAGAAATAACAAAAACAATATTCTAGTCATGTTATAGTAGACATAACGACAAATGGAGTCTAGTGTCTACAGGTTCCAACCAAGCATCAGCTTCACTGGATATTTTTGTCTCCTTTCAAGATGATGGCACACTCAATAGGGATAAGTAAATGGAATAGCGAGGTTTTTAGTATTCACTGATGTGGCTACAGTTTTTGAATCACCATACTGCATATAATTTGACAATCCTGAAAATTACCCTCCGTTTTGAAGTTTTGTTTATACAGCATAGATGAGACCGGGCACTCTAGAGGCACAAGTAGTGAGTTAAACTATCTTTTGTAAGTAATGGTTTTTGAGCCATATGTTCCTGCTCAAATCTCACTTCTCATGTATAGTCACCAGCTTATTGATCAATTGTCACGATTTGGGTTGTAACTTAATTCAATAATTTAATATTTTTTGTCTCCAGTGTGTTTTCACTAGCTTATCTGCGAAAGTCGCATTGATCCTTACACCCGTTGATTTGATGCGTGAATTGTGAGAGTAAGAATCTGTTCTTATAGACGAATCAACAATTTGTTACCTTCCTCCGCTAACAACAACAGACTAATGTCATCACAAAAGCAGACAATTGCATTCTTGCCCATGGCAATATGTTCAGAAGCTAAATGCCAATGTCGAGGTTTGCGAGCCACGAGAGGGCTTCACGAGATAGTTTGCGTAGTTTTGATATTCCTCATTGAAAAAGCGCAGACTAAAGTTTTTTTCATGATATAGTCCATAGTTTGGGTTGCATTGCCACAGTGGCAATGTGGGTTGTATTTTTTGATTTAAAGCTTTCGTGACTGCAGGGATTCATATTCTTGGTATGAAAGAACCAAGAATATAATGTGGGTTGTCTTTAATTTTCAATTTCTGAAGGTAATGTGCATATGTTGATAGGTCTCTGAGGTGCTTATTCAGGACGTCTGCATTGTTCCGCTCTGTTTGCCAGCGTTCTTCTGGATCTGGGTGAGATTCTAGGATGGTCACAGCACGAACCCAGAATGGGGATCGAGACTTGTGTCAGGGACACTGTACATCGATGAGGTCTTGGTTGATGGGTAGGTGGTTGTCATTGGCATGTAAACTTATTTCCCGTTTGCGTGTCTCTGCGGATATTTGGTGGCAGAGTGTTCGCCAGGGGATTGGTGTCAGTTTTCAGTTTTCCAGTTATGCGCATTGCATTATTTAATTGTGTATCTAGCAGTTTTGTATCTGAACAGACTGAAAGATATCTTAAATTTGGTCACAAAAAGTTCCAAAGATAAGTAAACTTAATAACAAATATCGAGCAAATATAATTTGTAAAGCCTCAGTGTCACTTAGTGGATAGATATATTGAATGAATGAAAAGCCCAAGGTTTAGGTCCAGAAATATTGTTTCCAAGACAATTGTTCCTTAATAAATTAGTGGGCTAGAAAATAGGACATTGTAAATATGTATTTTTGGAGTAAAATAAAAAAATACGTGAAACAAAACTTTTGAAACGTTTATCAATGGGTTAAGTGTACAGACAGCAGAGCTTTCTGCATACATTCAATCAACAAATTAATCATGTATGCAGAAAAGCCTAACTTTTGGATCGAAGCCTCTGCTCAATTGTATGTTGGACTCGAAATAAAGGATACACACTCCATTTGCTTTCTTTTCATGATATGAACGGTGTGTGGGGAGCGCAAGAGGAGATGTGGTTTTGGTGAATATCCATGGACTTCATGTCTGGGTGAACAGGAACGATGAGCATAATGCATGCAGATTCTTACCGGAGCCCGTGTTCTTTTTGGCATTCAGATAAGCTCATTGCATAACAAACTATTAATTTGCGTATTTTTATTATATTAAATTAATTCAGTATTTTTTTTCATACTCCACTAAGATTCTACAATTCTCAGCCAAATTCAGCTTCTCGAGTTTTGACTTCCAGACCCTGTAACTCATTTGGTGGAGTGTCTGCTCGGCTTAAGAATTCATTTCCTCAATCCAAATTGGACTGCCAGAGCAGAGGAGGATCAAATTAAATACAACTGCAATTTTTTGGGAAGTGTTTATTTTTTTAAATACACAATCACTAGTGACCGTGCTGATACCATTCAACTCTAGAAATTACATTTCAGCTCTGTGATGGATTTTCTGCATGCATTACATTGCTACACAATGACAACAATGTACATTTAAATATTAAAACTGAAACACGTGTGGTCTTAAACAAATATTTCCCCAGAAACTATGATATAAGCCAATGCCCTGAAGGCAATTGTAGATGTTATAACCATTAACCCAGGGATGTATAATCACGTCTCAAAAATCTTTTTTTGATCTTCAGCGTCCCACTTGGGATATTAATCCAATATCTCCTTCGAGTATTTTCACACATTTCAGGAAGCTAACGTTCTTTAAGGAAAGAAACACATTCTAGAAGCAACAGTCACATGATGCAAAGGGAACATTTTATACACCGCTTGCTATACTGCCCACCAAAATCTAGCTCACTACCTCACAATTTGGCATCTCATACATAACTTCTCTTGCTAGAATGGGCAAGCCAGGCCTCCTGAGTGCACTGCTAACCTGATGTTCACTCATCTGATTAGGGGCATGCTCTGCAACAGGCGTTATGTTCATCATGTGGTCTTCACATTTTTCAGAGTAAATTGCATTTAACGTCTTTACACCTGGGTATCATTCAAAGCCATCACAATTGGTTCCATATCATGATTTCAATTGCCTGAGGCGATTTTGCTATGTCGTTTGTCAAGATCACCGCTGGATGAAGGTCTTATGAAGGCGTGAAAATCGTGGGAGTTGTTTAACCATACCTCGCCATGCTAACCAGTACGGGTTAGTGAAGGAGAGACCAGTTTAAATATTACTTGACGCTGATATTAGCCATGCCCTGGAATCAAACTCAGGTTGCCAAGTTCCTAGTGCAGGGTTCTAACCAG